ACCTGCTCGTCGCTTTCGGTCTTGAGCTTTTGGCCCTTTCTCCTTTTCAAGACCTCCAGGCTCCATAGGGTTCTCCTGTACTTTTCACGATTTGGTTTCTTAGGCTGGCGTGTGGCATGTGGCATTCAGTTCCGTACACCCAATCATAAGTGTGTGTCACCCCCTGTCTCCAAGGGATTTTGCTTGAGGCTTTTGGTTTTGTTTTTGGTCAGCTAGACAGCAGGGGACCAGGCAGGATACATCGTCGCCTGGTCGACGAAGCTGGCGATGTACCTGAGGATATGGAAATGGGATGCCATTTCCACGCACCTGCACTGCTATCTGGGGAAACAGAAGGAAATGGTTCTCGGCGCACTGTGTGCGTCGATTCCTTTCCTTCTGTTGACCCTTAGCAAAAAAGCAGGAAGCTTCATGTCCTTTTCTAGCTATCTTCTACCGTATTTGAAGCGAACCCTTTGGTCTCGCTTCCGTATGGAACTTACTCCCCTATGCACGGCCGTAATTCGAGACCGCTAAAGCACAGTGACTAAACAGATGCAAATGTGCATGAAACACTCTTTGTTGAAACATCTACAACTTTACGGACTCATCGCCTTTCTATTTCTCTCTTTCATTTCTCTGTGGATTATGGCACTGGATGAAACCTAGCAAAGTGTGCTGGGGCCGAAGGAGGACTTTCTAGAACATGCTTGCCACAAAGAGTTACAGTAAAGCCCTACTAGTAGAGATGCCCTTGCTACAAGTAAATAAACCAAAGGGGTCTCTAGACCCAGGCGACGGGACGAAAGCAAGTGGCAAAGTCGCTGGCCAGCAGCAATCGGATTGCCTCAAAAGTCGGCTGACTCGAGGAAATCAAAAAGGCTTCTGCTCAATTCTACTCAGCCTCCAAATAAAAGAAATCGGCCGATAAAGATAAGCAAAGTGCTACCGAAGTATCCACCCTTCACCAACTCTGGTTGGATGCCGCCCTTTCAGCACTCTGAAAAATTGATTTACCACTTGGTTGGGCCTCGTATTGGAGGCGGTGCAACTACTACTCCAAGTAGACAAAACACATCCAAATCCACATTTTGAGAAACAAGCAAAACATCGCAAGCATGACATTGGATTTGACACCCGCAGGCTCTAGGCCCTGAAGAGAATCGCTAGCAGCTGTTCACCCTTCATGACTGATTCCATCTGCGCTCTTTCTTGCTCGTGATGATCTACACTCCCCGGAACTAACATGGAAGTGGAAATGCCCTTGGAAGACGATTTTCCTCTACAAACAGGGTGTTTTCCACTTCCACGTTAGTTGCAGGGAGGGTATGCATTCGCCCGGCCTCAGGTCCCTCCACCACGAAGTGCGAGCCCGAGGGCGTCAAGACTTCAGAGGGCTCCTTGAGGTTCCGGAATTCCGCCTGGCGAGTCCAAGGGAATCACCACGGCGAGTCAAGCAACGGCGAGTCAAGTCAACCCCCACACAACTGTTCAACTGCCGCTGCCATGAAGGAAAGGGTCAGAGCGATAGAACTAGTGACCCCAGATTTCAGACTGCCAAGATTTGTGGAACATGGATGAGCATGGCAGATTTGATTCATGGATTGATGTGATATATCATCAACAATACTCAGAATTACAGCAAATAGTTAATGGATGTGCTCCCGCCTCCATCCTGTGTGCCCCGAGGTGCCTCTGTGAGCCTTCCCCTCACTCCCCAACGCTCGGTCTCGTCGCAACGATCATATCAGCGCCAAGGCACCACCAATGGATCGGCGGCGTCCTATCAAGACGCGCCAATAAGTGCTCGACAATTTAGAATGATATATAATGATATTGATATTGGTGACTTGCTCTTTTTAGGGCCGTGTTCAACTACCTAATGAAAATCGCAATGTGTACACGGTATATATACATAGAGAAACACAATACACATCAATATATTATCTGTACCTATGTTCATGTCTAAATAATTGTTCATGCAATGAAACAGCGTTCTGTGATCAAGTGTTTAGTCTACACCGCCGCGTGGCCTGGATCTCCTGGACCTTGCAGCCTGGAATGACCGGCACTCGGACCGTGGGTCCTGGAGCGAGTCGGTTCCCCATGCCCAGCTGTGCACACTAAAAGATCATCAAAACGCGCGCCAGGAATCACAACGAGGGGTGCCGAACTTGGAGGATAGGGGTGTCCATTTTCCATTTGCTTAGGGCTTAGGGACTAAAACTGGGACTAAACACCACCCTACCCCCTTTGTGACTACTGGAGGCGTGTTTCAATTGGGAACCCTGACCGTCTCCCCTTCAAAGTCCGGTTGTTGACACGGGAATCGCGTCCGGTCTTCCCAAAGGCCGGCGGGGAGGAGGAAAAGGGCACCTGATGGATGCTCATGATATATATAGAGCCTGGAATAGAGCCTGGAAAAAACATGCATGTGGGAGGCCTCGTGGAACAACATGCAGAAATAGGCAGAATGAACTCAAACATGGCGACCGGCATCGAAAAGACATGCAGCTCCTGAAGGCTCTGACATCGGACCCTCAGATGCAAGCCTGAGAACATCAAAGGCTCATGAACATTTGAAGTCCCATGATGACCCAGGGCAGATTTGGAGTTATCACTGAGAACTTAGCACCAGGCTTTGGGCACTGACGACACGATGGCAAAACATGTTCAACTGGTTGAAACCTCACGGAAGTCTGCAAATAATTGCAAAGGTCCAGTCAAAAGGCAACATGAATATGAACTTAATATAGTTTAACTGTAACTATGTCCTTGTCATGCTTCCCCCAAGCCAAAATCCAACATTTTCCCCAAGCACGGAATGAGGCCAAAGCTCGGATCATTGATAATCATGTTTGTAGCATTTCCTAGCTTTCAAAGGCCCATGTCACCAAATCATCGAACATAAGACGCGTTGAACCACAGGGCCAAGCTTCGTCCAAACTGCGAGCCCCAGTCATCGAAGCCCAAACGGAAACGCCCTAGTCATCGAAGGCAGCAAACAGCGGCACTACATGGCACTTGAGTCATTCTGATGCAAGGCATTGAAGTCCTGTGCCTAAAATCTAAACCTATCCTCCTCCACCAGGCCTGGGTCCCCTTACAAGTTCAAAATGATGACAAGCCCAAGCAATGCCATTTGTCATGTCAAAAGACAGCTGGGGGCGGCTTGCATTTTGAGTTTGTTGCATCACATGTCCTTGGCCACTATAGGCTAACAGGGGTATATAGCCTATTTTTGGCGTATATAGCCTATTTTTGGCTGGCTCGTCATGGTCTCAATTGGGAGCTAGGCGCAGGCATCATGACATGATATAGATTACTTGAAGATGGTTCCACTTCTTCCACATGGCCAAGGCCAAACTTCCTGTTCATTCACCGCTTTGCCATCCAAAAGAGGACACATGTGGAAAATTGTGGAAACTGTTCTTCTGGTTTGGTGCCAATTCTATCGTTTCGCCTCCTGGTTTCGCCACCGAAAAGCTGGGATGGTCCACAAAGGCATACAAAGGCCGCCGTATATGAAGAGAAGAGCGAAAACGCAATCAAGGTCCTGGCATAAATAATGCGAATTCCCACATCAACTTCTCAAGATCTTTCTCTCGAGGATCATTCTTTTCTTTTTTGGATGCCGCCCTTGAGGATCCTGACTCCACAAAGCCCTTGCGTTTGGGGGTGTCTAGCCAGTTTCACACCTGAAACCCGCATCGAGAAATGCGTCCACTCAATGAGCCCGCGCTCCCCTAACTAGCAGTGTGAAACAGGTCCGCAAACGCCTAATTCATCATCCACACTTACATTGACTCGCCTTGGACCGTGAGCTCGACAGCCACCCCGGCTCCCCCCCGAGGCCCCCCAACCAGACGGAATGCCGTGAGAGTAGGGGATTCTCGGCCGGAAGGGGATTCAGATCCGGCGGATCTGAAGGGCTCGTCGTGTGGCACCGAGTGGTGGTCCCACTAGTGGTCCCTTTGGGCAGCCTGATGTGTTGTTGTTTCTTGGTATGTCGAGGCAACCAGATCCAAGGTTTGACCTGTTGTATAGTGTGTACCTCAGGGATTGACATTGCTCTTTGCTCAGCTGTAAGAAACCATTTCCGCACTGGCCATCGGTCCGCACCTAGGTGGGGTCCAATTACATAAAATATGGGACATGAAGCAACAAACGAACTGCGCTGGAGAGTGTGGCTACAGCTGATCCCGCCCTGCAAATTGGTCTGAAAATAAGCCAAGCATCCAGCATCCACTTTTACAGAATAGGTTAACTGGTCATCAAGAAAATACAAGGTCCTGTGGAAGACAGCTTTATTTAATGTTCATAGGCGGCATGCTGTAAGGAAAGCAAATCAGCAAACAGACCGCTTCTGCCAAGAAGACAAGGCCAAAACAACATTCAAACCCTGGCGAACATTCGGGGAGAATGGGCGCGTTCTCATTGCTAAATCTACGGCCTCCGATTCTCCCCAGGCATGATCAAGACCGAGCCAGACGGCATGGCAAACTTCAACATGATCTGGGCAATTCTCGAAGGTTGGCAGGCCAACTTGGAACTCCTCCTCAAATGGTGGAAACAAAGAAGTCGCACCACCAAAATGAGCACCCCCTCCCTCCCCACTCCCACCGTGTCGCTCCAAAGGTCGCAACTCGTGCAAGCCGCTATCGCAAGGCTTGTCCATGGCTGGGAAGCCCGGACGGAATCGGCTCCATCACAACCAACCTGACTGATTGCAAGTCCCTAGGGCTCCAGTTGTACCTCCTCAAAAGGTATGACTGGACCCTCCTGGCACCCACCCGTCCCACCTTCTTAGAGGGTACGACTGGAGCCCTAGGGAGTGGCAAAAAGTTCATACCGGGACATACCAGGACCTTCAGGCGTGCGACAGTCCCTAAGTAGTGTAGTTAGGGCTGGGTAATGCTGGGCATATAGTCCATCTTGATGGTTCTGGTATGTTTGGATCATTCCAACAGTTGGTATGGGGGCCACTCCGGAGGCACTTAAGGGAGTCACTCGGATGTCCGATGCGGGTGCCCAGAGGTCTTGCTTCAGGGTGCAGACTTCTGCCTGTGTTTCACTTGAGGTGAAGGACTGACGTGGCACTTGACGACCGGAAGAGGCAATCTAGATACGGCAGGTAGTGGGTACGAGGAGCACTCCTATACGTACATCGTTTGGATACCTTCTCTCTCTCTCTCTTTCACCCGTACAGTTCTTCACCCAGTGGGTCTGTCTGCTTCAGTGGTTCACTAGACAATTCAACTCCCCCAGGTAGTTTGGACAAGTTTTGACCTATAACAGCATCTGGTTTCTATGTTACTGAAAACGCATTCCCCATCCAATCTTTTGAATGGACCCACACAAAATCAGACAAATCCATCTACCAGTGACCAGTGCAAGGATGAACACTTTCACCCAGGTCATTTGCCTTACTTCTGGCATGCACTTCTGGCATGCCCCGCCCCAACGAAGAGAACCGGGACCAAACGATCAGAACCCCGGTGCGGCTTCATCCCTCGTCCCTGGAGTTCCATTGGCGCCTGCGCACTTTGGCTGCAAAGGCATTGCCCCACTCCGTCCTGGCGCGTTTCGAAGGCGGAGCACATGGGGGGAAAATCAGGAAATCCAAGCGATGCAAATGATTCCAAAACAAGTGGCATCAGCAGTTAAGACGGCGGAAATCTCAATCAACCCAACGAGAAATTGCGTGGCAACCCAGTAGCACTTGGGAGTGGTGTCTTCCGAACTGTCTTCCTATTTCAGGAAAATAGACCATCCTGATGCACCGATATTTCACCCCATGGATCCACATACCTTCTGAGAAGGTATGTGGATCCATAGGGCACCTGGAGCATGAGTCACCACCGTCCAACACCTCCGCCCCGATGCTCTGCCCCACCTTTTCGATGGAGGAGGGCTGACCCACGAGCAGCAGGTTCCCGCTCGGAGCCTCGGACCACGACCACGGCACCGGTCATCCCTCCACTTGAGGTGTTGAGATGCTGCTGGGATGCTGCTGGACTCTTTAAAATGCAGTAGCCAGCAGACTCTCAACAGTAGGGCGGGCATCTGTAACCAATGCTGTAATCTGCTAACAGTAGGGGCATCCAACCATTGGATCCTGTTGTTACCCTACCAGTTGCTCATTGTAACCAGCTACCTGTTGTTACTGTAACCGTTGCTGCATGTTGTCCTTCAAGTTTCGACGATTTGGAAGACGTTGCTTGGCGCCCCACCGTGCTTGGGGAATGGGCGGGCTCTGTTTGCTTATTTGCGGCAGTGGAATCCAATAACAACTGAGGCACTGATAAGACCACAAACGACTTTCACGCTGAACTGTGGACAAAATTCCTCGTGAAATCCTATTATGGCTTCGCAGGTGCAGGTGCAATGTCCTGGTCCTTTTTTGCCAAACACAAACGTGATGTTTTCGTACCGTACTTTCTCCAACATATGTTATGCTCACCAGGATGCAAGCAAGGCACGGTTATGCATTTAGACATTTGTTTTTGAACAAATCGACAACTTGTCACAACAACAAAGGACATCAGCATACATCAGCTAAGTTTGCTGGAAGCATCTGCAAACCAAAGTATGCTCATGATCAGTATGGTACTTTGATTGCTCGTTTAATTTGCATGTCCTTCTCGGATTTCTGCTTTTGCAGACCAACAATCGTCAAATTCACGAGGCAAGGCTTGTCCGTGCCTGGCCACCGCGGAAGAATTTCAACCTCGGCGTGGCGTTTGCACCATGGAGATTTCTCTGGGAGCTTGGTTTCTTCCGAGGCACTAGACAAGTGTGTGGTGTAGGCACCTAAAGTGCTACCTAAAGCAATTTGCAAAAAAAGTCCTTAAGCGATTTATATGTACTGTATATATATATATATACTATATATATATATATTAGTTTTCTTGTGCCATCAGCTTTCTGACCACACTTTCTTGTCACAAAAGGTTACAGCTAGGAAATGCACAGCCACCAGGGATCACTTTCAACTTTTCTTTTCGTCGGTTGGCGTGTATCCATATTTCGCAGGTGAAATTCTGGAAGTCTGCCGTTGCTTTATCTCCCTCAAACCCTCAAATGGCTCGCCCCATGGCTCTTGATGGCTCTGCTGATCGGCTGATGTGTGACCCCTCCAGATTGGTTGAATTTGTTTTGGCTTCAGCGATGGCCACCATGAATATGGATGAGGGAGGCAAACTTCAATACATAACGCGTTCTAGTTAAGCAACTAGTGCAGCAACTAGAACGGGCAAAAACACGCATGACTATATATATAATATATTATATATTATATAGATGCTAACATATTCTAACATAAATATTGGCAACATTGGAAACAAAGACCTGATGAGCACCATTTAGAAGGTGAAGCCTAGTTTTGATCATTTCTGTGACTTCTATCCATCCTCCCCCGCAACCGTGGCCCCGCACGCCATGGCCGGAGCACATGGACCGTGGTCCAGGCTCCTAGGTGGCCCAGAAGGAATACTAAAATGATCAAGCATCCAGGAAACTCGGGGAGCTTTTGACTTGACCAAACGGTACAAACAGTACTAGCACCTTGGATCACCTTGGCGTTCTTAGTCCTTATATGTTTTGTTTATTTCATCATATTCCGACATATTTTCTGATCATCCGAATCAACAGGCCGAAGAGACTCGGTGAATTCGAAGCCCAGCCACTCACCGAAGAGACTCGAGGGCATAAAGTGCCAGGCATCGGGCCTGAGACACGACACTCGATTCGTCGCCTGTGGCTCCCCTGTCCCCTGGATCACGATTTCTCCCGGCCATGAAGTATAGTATATAGGTGGATGTGGGCCACGGCATGCCACTGCCACCGGCCACTGGCATGCACTCTGTTGTCCAAGTCGCCGGTAAGGCCGCATCATGGATAAGCGTGCCAAGCCATAGTCTGCCTAAGTAGAATACAAGTGTGAACGGGGAGAATATGGAGAATGGGGAAGTCAAGTCAACACAGCAAACAAACAAAAGACGTAACAAGCTCTCAAGGAGCGGTCACATTCGTTGCATGCTCCAGCTTACTGCTCGTCCTTCGCGTCCTCATAGCTCTATACTGCTTAGGGAGGCTATGTGGCTGTGGGTCACAGCCCCGTAACCCTGGTTGACCGCTGAAAATGGACAGATTCCTCGTCTGTTCAGAAGGTCAACCTACCATGGTTTGGTGGGGGACCTGCCATGACTAACAGGGATTCATCTGCGTTCGGGCTGGGCCCCAAGTGATCCAAGGGAAGCAGTGTCCATCGGCCCGGCCTTCTGAAAAAGGCCACTGTAGCGGTTCTCGAGCCTCGGATGAACTCAACTCGGATGTGCCGACATGGCCGGCCAGACTGACGGCTCATCAGTTCTCGCTTCCCACAGCCTCCTCCTTAGGGCCTGGCCACTCCGCACCTTGGTGTGGAAAAATGCCGAGGACCGTTCTTTCCTCCAATGTTTCATGGGTGTAACTTTGGAGTAACTCGTATAGCCGCAAGAAGCCCTTTATGCCATTATGCTTCTACGAGTTCACGCAGTATTGGCACGCGTGGTCTTACAAGCCGGCCACACCCACTCTTCCACGGCAATGTCCCTTGGTCCTACATGTCAGGTGGAATTCGATGTGACGTTCTGACCTCCATCAGATTCCAGTGGAACCACTGGACCTTGGACTGTTGGACTCTCAATCCGTGGAAAAAAAACCACCTCTGATGGACCTTCCACATGACCTTCCCGGAGTGGGCCGCTGGTAGACCCACCCAGGGGCCGCCCAGGTTACGGACCTGAACCGTCACGGTCACAGCGGCACGACTCCAGTTTCCGTCTTGGGCCCACGGGCGTATGAGGCCACACACCGCCTGAGGATGGCTCCGAAACATGTCGAACACATGGCAAGAGTAAGGAACATGAAGCTAGGCAAGCTGTTTGTTTGTTTTGGACTTCTAATCTAGAATCATCATGAATCATCCATCAAAAAGCAACCCCTAGGCACCGCTTCGTAAAAGCAAACGTAAGCTGTAAGCAGGACAATTCGTTCCAACTCTGTCGAGATCGTACTACTTCCTAGATTCAAACTTTTGGAGCCACCATAAGAAGAACCCGGAGTGCAACTGGTACCACAATTTGGTGCAACCAATGCGCAAAGGCTGCCAAATAAAGTGTATATATATATATAGAGTGGATCAAACATCTTCTAAATAAAGTACATGCATGAATAATAAAGTAGAAGGCAGGGGTTCTCAGGACTCCAACCCTTAGAAATTGACAAACAAGGATTGGTCTTCCCAAACCCAGGCGTTTACAAACCATGCCGCACAGACGTCCCAGCTTGGTTCCCCCTTCCCGGTCCAAACTCCCGCCTCGGAGGGCGCCCTTGCACTCACCGAGGGTTTACACCAGTCGGCATCCGAGTCCAAGGATTGGTCCAAACCTTGGGCTGACAGACAGTGAGGACGGAGGCTGTTGACTGAGACAGTGATTGGGAGAAAAGAAAATCCGTTGTTCTTCTCCAAGGCATGAAGTCCTCCATGATGAATCACTTGATGTTGGAGGCCACGCTACGATCTACTCAAACGCCGCAAACAAGCTGTATGAATCTGTGCCCGGTCCCTCCTTCACTCAACCACTCAACCCGGACATCCGAAACCGCCTCCTTTTTCTGGAAGGAATGCTGGAAGCAACGGGTATGAACATGGCCACAAAGGGACCGCACATCTGCGAACACCCTCGCTTTTGCAAAAGTCGGCCAGAACACGTCCCCACGGAACCTGGGAGGGCAATCCCAAGGTTCCATTCAGGGTATTCCGGCATGGAACAACAACGAGTCATGCCAAACTCAGGATGTCAATGGGTTTCGGGCATCAACGATCTCCTTGGGTCCTTGGGTGGGTCTACTTTGTTGTTGGCCTTCTTTTTGGGGTTCGGCTGGGTGTTCCCCGAACGTCATCAAGGAGGGAGGCCACAGGGTGCCTTAAATATGGCTAGGCCGGGTATACCGTTGTGGTGTCCGGCCGCCGAAAGATTGTTCCCATCGCCGTGAGGGTCCTGGTATTTTCTGCGGGGTCTGCTTGCCCTGCCGGACGCACGGAGTCAGTGTCCAAAAGATGGGACATCATAGTGTGATTTGTGCATTTAGAATATCAAAGACCACCAAAGACTACGTCTCGAGATGTCAAAGCACGATGGATTTGTGTGTAGACAGACTCCTGTTGCAACCCACTTTGGATTGCTCAGCTCCCAGACTGGGGCTACCAGAGAGGGGGGGCACCACTCACAGAACGAAAGGGTTGCATGCAACTCTGGATCCTTCCGCATTCCGGATGTTACTGAACAAAGGAGACGGAACAACGATCAAACATGGACCTTGACTCAGCTCATATCCGTCATTGCTTCTGTCATCCAACTGATCACGCGGCAATCCCATCTCCTGTACTCAGGAAGTAACTGGCAACGAAAGGACCCCCTTGGGTGGTCGTCTCTGCATTTCATAAGCGGTGCACAACCCGTGATGGTATTTGATGGCATTTGCGGGGATTGGGGATCGTTCATGCGCTTTGAAGATAATATTTCCAAAACACAAGTTACAGTGCCTCACTTGGTCTTCTACATGCTATCATTTCGACTCATGATACTCATGCTGAAAATTATGCATCATTCTTATGGTTCAGCCACTTCTCAAGTTCAATGCAAACATCTGCTTGTTGGACATCTTCTCACGGAAACTGCTCCCCATACATCTCACGACATGTCGAAAGCCCTTGATGCCCCGCGCATTACACAGTACTCGCCACGGGTCTCGCAAACTTGGAAGGACAGTCACCATGGGTTGTACCCACTTCCTACACGCAAAGTCCATGACCCAAGTGGAGAACCGGATGGATGCTACCATCGCCGCTCCAAAAGCGGCCGGAACTCTTGGACCAAGTGAAGAGTTGATCTGTCGGCACATTTGCACCCACTGTGCCGCACTGGGCAATATTGGAGTCGAGGTGGTTTAGTCACAAGTTGAGTTCTCATAGACGCATAGAAGGAAACAAATGACATTGTATGAGAGAATGTGTGAACCTGTGAAACTTGCCTCTGAGCAAAACCTCGGTAAGAACCAGTGGTTGCCGGGAATTGGCCCCTTCTGTTGGTGCACGTATCTCGCAGCAATCAAAAACAACTCCTGGTGGAAACTGTGGTGACCTGGCCCATGGCTTGGCCACTTCAGGGGAATTCCAGCATGATGTAGTTGGAACTGGCCCAGCAAGGGGAACAATCGGTGTACAGAACATATATACAATCCATCTCATATATACACTATATATATATATTTATACTATATCATTCGTAGCACAGCCTAGCCCAGTACATTACACAAATGTAATAACATAATATATATATGATATATGTATACACACATCATGTATATATATATATATATGCATATGTATATATATGTGCATGCATGCATTGCATTGCATTGCATTAGACACATTATACATGATATGTATATACATTCATGTGCTTCAAATCCAACTGGCCATACTATTGGCTGTTGATTAAACACCCCCCGTTATCAGCATGGTTTTACATCTTCATATGGAGGGTGTTCTATGGTTTTCTTAACAAACGGTCAACATTCTATGCCGGTAAATGTCTTGGTTCTCGTGAATGCACTCCCAGCCAAATGTCTTCCAAGCCAATAGCCATCTCCTTGAAAAGGGAGAGAGCACCTTCATAGGGTGGATGCTCTAGTATAGCATCTAGCGTGTGCCCAGCCGCGATGTCCAGGTGCAAATGGCCAAGACCTTGGCAATCTTTAAAAAGTGTGAAGCACGTCCTGCGGTTGTCCATCTGCTGGCGTGCAGCAGGATGTCCCGGTTCCTCTGCACTGTTGGACGGCGAATGGCTGGCCAAGTCCATGCTCCAAGGTGATCAGCTCGTGCGGCCCTTGCAGTGCTCTATCAACCATATCTACGCGCAAAAGCTCAAAAGGGATCAAAAAGCAATGTATGCCGGTGAACACGGTCATTGATCATAGACGTGCCCTGCGCATCCAAAACCCCACGTTGCCAGGCCATGTTTCTGCGACTGCCCGTGTACAAAGGAATTGCTGCGATGTCTGGTGGATGCCAAAAGTTCAGGTGTTGCGAGAAACCAAAAAATGCGTTTGTCCAAAGAGAGAGACACCTCTTCCAGTCGTGGCTATATGGGTCAAAAATCGTCAAAACCGGACAATATAATGAGCAGAATAGAAGTTTGTCCGCTGTTTGGGCCCACCTGTAGGTCTGTTTGTTCTATGTTTGAAGGTCCAACCCAACCGATCCCAGCTGGTCGTCTTCACAGCTGTCACCCGAGCGGAGCGTGAGCGGAGCTGGCGAGCTGCACTCCGCCCGCTGTCCATCAGAGGCGGTCCCATCCAAGTGTCTCGAGAAGTGGACTATCCCAAACAAACTGGTCACGGCTCCCTGCAGCGGGCCTTTCCATGGTTTTTTCCCCTATCAGTTGAGTCAAACAGGTTGTTGGAGTGCAAATGGACAAGCAAGTCTGAAAAAAGCCCTTCTTATCCCAAAGCCTCACACATTCTCATGCACACATGGATGTTCCTTCGGCTTCTCGGATGGAACACCTTCCCGGGGGATAAAAACCTTCCGCCCATCGCAGACCCCGGGCCGGTCAAACGGGCCCGTAGCGGCCGGGGCTCCCAGAGGAGAAAGCTACGAGGGCTACGAAGAAAATGCACGCGGTGGATTCGCGAGCTCCACGTAAAGCTGTGGGCGCTTTAAGCGCGGGTGTCAGGGTCAAGCAAAATCGCTCGACTCTACACAAACTGGGGCATGTCAATCATTTCAGTTTATGTTCCAGCAACCACCAGAAAAGGACGTTGAAGGTCATACAAATAAGGCAAAACATGTCGAAAGCTGTGGTGTAGTGTGGATGAATGATGTGGTCAGCGAGCTGGGATAGTTCTGCTGTCTGAGTGGTGCCGTAATGTCCGGAGAGCAGTCAAGGGGCCACTGGTGAAGAAGGTCTCCTGTTGATGCTGGGGAGTGAAATCTGCACCCCCAGGGTGTCAAGCAGCTGTGTCAGTGACCCTGACTAACAAAGAACGCAGGTCTTCCTTGCACTTGCTTGCTCAAGAGTTCCGATTGTCACATCTTCGCCATCTGTTTGCCCTGTCGGCAGGGATGAGACACTGTCTGTCGGGCCAATGCAAGCAGCAACAACGACAACAATAACAACGGCATGTAACCAGTTCAAACAATCACACTGATTCCTTTTGTTCCTGCAGCATCTTCTTCCTGAAGAACAACACAGTTGTCATATTGGCTGTGGACAGTCCTTCAGTTTGGCTTAAGAGCCGCCTGAAGGGAAAGCATAACGGCATAACATAAATACAGATAAATAGAGTTCCTTCGGGCTCAGTAGGTCAGTGGGGATCATGTGTGTATTCGTAGGAATCACCAACCCTTTCCATTCCACCCTGCCCACCTTCCTTCTGGCACAAACTTCTGATCACCGATTGAGATTCCCTACGTGTTCGTTTGGCTCATTCCCAAAATTTATGCGCTGCTCGTGCCTTCATGGGCTTCTTCACCAGCTATCCAGGCCTTGGTCTGGAGTCTTCCAAAATCACAAAGTGGCCTACGGCGCTGCGGGACACAGTGAAAAATACATCTTCGATGGTCTTTTGGTTGCTTCCCACATTTGGTCCTTCGACCTGCCTCCGTGTCCAAACATCCGGTTTTTGACAGTCAGACTGGTCGAGCGCGATGGGGCTTTTTGGTCTGTTTGGATTGCGTTCGTTCTACGACTACGACGTCACATGAGGGTCTTTCTCCCTTGAGGTACAGTAGAAGGACAAAAACACGTCAATATATAAGAACATTGACAATCATCACTGAACCACTCCTCAAATCAAGTGCCGTCCTAAGAGTAGGGAAAAAACATACCGGACCATCCCCCAGAAATGGGAATTGGCAACTTCCCAAACGCCCCCAGCTCGTGCAATAAGTATATAGTGAACGACAGTTTGAGGATCTTCTCACGCAACCAAGGTGCCGCTACCACAGTGATGTCATCTTCCTTGCCGCCTGGAAAATGCAGCCTCATTTGTCGCGTTGGGGCAGGCCTATCTGATGTCTTGCAAATGTCTTAGACATATACTGACAAACCTGGTCTATATCCATGGTGGTTCTAAGCCCTCCACTCCACCATGTTCATTAGTATTGGCTGCGGCTGTGGACGGAGTATTTCTAGAGATGGGTTTGGGATGTCAAGCGGAGTCGTTCACTGCTTGCAGCAAAAGGAATACTTGCACGTCCGAAAAGGCGCTAGTCTTGCACTGCACTCCAGGTTTCTGCTTCTGTGCGTCCATGGCATGTCTGGTTTCCCATAACTGATTTGAGAAGTCGACCCATCATTTGGAGGTAAACCAACTTGCCCAAGCCTCATCTTCCTAAATTCTCTCAAAGTCTCCACAGTAGTCTCCACCGTGTGTCCACCCATTTTCTGAGATCCAATGGTCCACACATGTCACAATCCAGGCCCAGAAGCCGATGTCGACGCGCCGACTGCGCGAAAGGCGTGTTGGCCTTGAGAAGGTACATGGGCACGACCGATTCTCCATGAGACATTTCAAGGGAAACATGTTGACACATGTCGCACATTGGCTGTTTGATCCACGTGCTTTTCTCAACACTGTCGAAAGAAATGATGTCCAATGTTTTCAAAAGTCGTGCCTTCAAGGTTTGAGGGGTGGGTGCACGTTTCTCGCGCCTTAGCAAATGGTGAGGTTGCTTCTTATTTTCTAGCCAAGAAAAATCACCCGAAGCATGACTGGATGGTGCCCACTTTTGGCTTCTTTCGATTCTTCACGTAACTGGCCACCGCACTGGTCGCACAGGTTTGGGACATTTGTTTTCATGATAGAATCTGCAAGTCTGCAAGTGTGCAATCCGAAAAGTTGGTAATCCAACTGATTCTCTAAGGATTATGATATATAGATTGAGGGCTATAGTTGGTTATGTTTGATGAGGACCGTCTGTTTCCTTCCTTTTTGGGGCCTCTCGTCGGGTCTTCGTTTCGTCGCCCGAGGGTCGGCCTTTGTGTCGTGGGATCGTTCCTCGGCTGTTTTGGCAAGGACAGAGGCCAGCACCTCCGGATTGACACCTGAGCACAGCGGAAGGGGGATGCTCGGATGAGGTGGATGAAACGTTGGGAGTCGTTGGATAAGGAGTTCAGCCGATGCCAGGAGAGGCTTCGGTCGTGTTGCGCAGCTAATCAGGCGGTGGAAGTGATTTGTTGGGCCTTTGCCACACACTTTTATACACTTTTGAGATCTTTCGAGCATCCTCACCTTGCCCTTCGTAGCGCTCAACCACCTCATCCACTTTGCGCAACACCTGCCCATCTGGGAAGCCAAAACCAAGAAACGCGCTTGAGCTCAGGGTTTGGAGATGCTTGGAGGGACCCGGTCCTAGCTGGGTACGGGTGCCAGGCATCCAGGTACGTCCAGCGAGCCCAACCGCGACCTACAAATCCTACAGTGTGTGTGTCCACATATGTTGTCGTAGTACTTCTGACAAGCGTAGTGCAACGGAAGGTCTAGATGGTCTAGATCCTTTCGTGCCTGGGGCTTCAAAAGGAGGTGATCGGAATCAAGTCCTGCCAGTCATATGTGTGGCTTTCCTTTTCGGTCTTGGTTCTTCACCAGTGGATGAAAACCAGGTTACCGTCCGTTGACTTCAGCCATGTCCACTTCCTGGGCGTCGTGTCCACTTCCTGGGCGCTGGCTGAACTCACCACACGTGCGGCACACCGTGAATCAGGAGCTTCGCCGTGCACTGGCTGAACTTCACGGAACCGCCCCATTCTCCGACCCGGGAACCGCCTCATACCAATGAAGGTTGTCGGTGAGCCCATCCGTGAAAAGCAAAAGGAGGTCGCCTGCATCAAGCGATATGCGCCGAGCGGCTAAACACAGCGGATGTTAGATCCCCACTTCCACGCCGGTCCGGGGCTAGCTCAGCTCAAAAATATTACTGTAAAATATATCTGTTCACCCATGGATCAGTCTCACTCAAACAGCGCTAGTAGCCGAGTATGTCCCAAAAGAGTCTAATGAGTCTAAGATTCGATCCCAAGCGACATGCTATCTAGCACTTGTAATCTGGCACCTGCGGCACCCGGCCATCCACACAACACATAAGACATCAGTAGGATCACCTAAGGGATTGATGTCCTTTCGGATTTGGACACAGCAATCTTCGCTCGGACCAGGGTTCCCTTCAGAACCTTGGGGGCGACTCTGGTTGTATGTGACCAGAAGTGGCACCACTGGCGCCCAAACACCATCCAAACTCATCACCCTGGTTAGGCGCGGTGCACACTGCGTGTGGTCCTTTCTCATTTTGCGCTGGATGTCTCCCGCAGACTCCAACCTGGCAAGCTGGTTGGCCTGGACATGAGCTGATCCAGAGCGAAAGACCATGGGCAATCGTGGAATGCTGTGGCGAAAGAAGCCCCGCATGGCCCGAGTTATTCTTGTTCGACCGAGAATTATGTCATGTTGCTATTGCTATCCCTTTCTTGGTCCGAAAGGGTTGAATTGATGGCACTTCTAGGTCATCTCCACCTGAGAACCTGCAAGATCACATGCATTGAATGATTGGACCTAGAACCTGAGTGACCCCTGTCTGTAGTAGAGCAGTGCCCTTGTTTGTTTCCCCTGCATGATTTCATGATGGACCAGGTGACTGTGGAACCGGAACCCGGATCAGCCTGGCTGCCTGTCTCAGAAGAGCTCTGCAAAACAACCTTTGGAAATCCTTGGAACCAACACTGACTTTCAGGTGAAAAGGATTGAACAGGCCTTGGTATGCGACTCTACACTATAAAGAGTCTCCTTACTTAAGTGCACATATAATATACAATTAGGTATGAGACATGCGGTGAGCCAATTGCTTCAAAGACCCACAAAAGCATGGGTCTAATCTCTTTGAGGCCACCAGCTCCGGCCTCTGAGGCGGAGCGCATGCCCCAAACGTCCACCTTCCACAGCAAGCGCGGCAGCATGGCATGGACCGAGGCACATGCCTTGACCGGCGGAAGAAAGAGATCCGTCCAAGGTCCGAATGGGATGGTCCGATCCGCAAGTCATCCCCAAACCACTATAGTCACTGGCTCCCAACTTTCCCCCAAAGCAACTCGGAGTCCTGGAACCCAAACCCCTCCGGGCTTCCAAACCGAACGCCCCCAGTCCCTCCGTTCCTTCGCCATGTGGCTCCCGTCACTGCCACCAGCCCGGCCACGTCCAGCTCGGACAAAGAGGCCAAGTGGAGGGCTTCCACCCAGGCCGAAGCACGCTCACAGGCGCGCAGGGCAGAGTTCACGCCTGTCTCTCAGTTTGGATCGACTGGAGCTGCCACATGGTGAAGTGTAGCTTCATGAAGGTTCTAGCCCGGGATCATTTTTGATCAGGATGCCTCTAAACAGAGCCAAGTGTCTGATGCCATCGGGTTCCAGCTGCGACTTCCGCATCTCCCTCAAGAGCCTCACAGTTCGGCCACGCTCTGGGCTTCACTTCCCTTTGAAATGGATCAACATAAACATCAAATGGTGTCCAATACATTTTAGCAGTATCATGCAGATACATGTTCAAAATCAGAAAAAGGAGTCCCACAATGTCCCAAGCCACCTGAAGGACACAATGAGCCAGGCTCAGCCTCTTCAGGGGACTTTTGGACCTGGTCATCCTTTGAACTTTATAGCAGCTATAGCATCGTCTGAGTCTGATTCCTAGCTGGTACCGACCTACTACAAATCTGCACTGAATTGTTTACTGCATTGATAAAATTCAAGAGCAGTACAGCAGTAATCCCGTCGTTGACAAGTTCCCCTGTCCACCAGGCCGTTGTATTTTCGTCCTCGCCTCAAGGCCTGCTGCAGCTGGTTGCTCCGCTCACAAGCGCTGATGCACACATTGAAGGCCATCCCTGCTTGTGCCTGTCGAGACACGTCCAAATGGAGTCAGAAACCCGGCAACGGCAACTTACTATACAGCAACACAAAGAAGATCAAAGAAGACATGGCATTCCTACATGTCGATGCTCACTCTGCAGTGTTCATCTGGATCCCCAGGCCCGGCCTTCGTGGCCTTCAAGGCTTGCAACAGCACCAGGGTCCTCTGCCACTCGCTGGCCTTCTCGCACGCCGACATGGCCGCCGTATAGGACACCTGAGCGAGTTGTGGATGTCGCAAATTCGACCCTTCCATAGCCGGCCCCAAACTGGGGCAGTTCCATTGCTTTTTATTTGTTTCTTTTATGTATATTAGCTTGTTTCTTTGCAGCCGGTGAATTCATAGTGTGCTTCTTCTTATATATATATTATGAAATATTGGGATGCTTGAAGTGAGTGAGTTGTCTCGGCCGCCCCTCCTTGATGAATGTTGATGCATGTCGGAATCTGGTCCAAATGTCATGGGTGGACAGAATATCGTTGAATGGTGATGGAACTGTGGTTCTTGTATCATGCCCATCCTACCTGGTCTATGACGCGTCAGTCATTTCCACGTATGGAAAGCACATCTGGCATGTTTTTCTTCATATGTAAGACAAGCTAAGGCTATCTGTCCCACAAGGACAAGAGTTGTGGCACCATCAAATCAGGTGGGTTGATATGGATTTGTTACGTGATGCCTTGATTGGACCATTAAACTGTTTCCTGCAGCTGAAGGCACCACATCGGGCTGTGGCCCGCTGGTCTGCATGGCCTCCAAGAATCCAAGAGATCTTTGCCAGCAGGTGCCCTTCCTCATGCGAATCTGAGACATGTTTAAGGTCGTGACTGACATGTCTGGAATCTGATGGTCTGGAAGGAGGTGGAAGGTCAGCTCATCCCAAACAAGCATAGTCCCACTGAGAGAGAAACACCCTTTCGTTTAGCCAAAAGCCAGCTGTCCCTCCGCTGTCCCTCAGGTGATTTGGTAAACAGTTCTGGGTACTTGGGCGGAACAATGGCGGAAACATCCCTCATCCTTCAAAGCAAGCTTCTGCAAGGCGCTAATCACCGCATTGCACAAGACCTCGGCGAAAGTTCCCGTATATCCAACGTGGATATCTCCTTTGATGAGAACGAGTTTTGAACTATTCGCCTCTCTCAAATGTGGCCGTTGGTTGGCGGGGCATTGAAGCTCAACAACACGACTTCATTCACCCACACACACAGAGAACTTGATGAGTTCAGGCAAGTGCAGATTATGTTTTCTTGATATGTTTGGGCCAAAGAAAGCAGTCCAGGAATTCTGCCGAACCCAACTCCCCACTGTCGGACATGGCCCTCCCAATCCATGCTGTCAATGCAAAAACCCGCACAAAGGCTGGCCAGGCACTGTATCTGGTTGCTGCTGGCTGTCTTGGAGGACCTCCAAGAGCTCAGCGGCACCGACCCAATGGCCACCGCCCTCGCAGGCGCTGGCCGCTGCACCTCAAAGAAAGCGCCCAGAGGGAGCGGAGTTCATGCCTTGTACTGGCTTTCACTGGTACCTCTGACTCTCACTTGGTCCTGGAATCGCCCAAAAACACTTTCCCACTAAATCTTCATACCAGTGGCCATAGGAAAAGACGTCGGGCAAAAGCTCAAGGCCGCATGCTTCCTTGGAAAGGACATTAAGGAAAAAATCCTTGGCAGTGTGAAATAGCTGCTTCATGTGATGTCCAGTCGCATGTTTCAACCGGATGTGGCTGCTCGAAGAAGTGCCCAAAGTGTGGCGCCGGGCTGGCTTGACAAACCCCTAGTTGGGGGACTCAGTTGGGGGGACTCAGTGGCGCCGGGCTGGCTCTCAAGCAGTGGCTGGCTTGTAACTCAGTTGGGGTTCAAAAAAAGCTGAACATCGACCTGGGAGACCCTGCGAGACCGGACATTCGGTGATCCTGACCTGGTGATGTGAGGGCCTGGCGCCAAAGGTGCTCTTGGTATCTCTTGGAGGCGAGATCTGAGGTGTACCAGCCCCAAACTCCCAGTTCTGGAGGGTGTGAAGGAACGTGCAGTCGTCTTCTTCCAGTGGCGGCATGCGGAAGGAATTGGGGGAGAGCACCCGGCCTACCAGATTTGGGGGCAGGAAGTTTCCATTGCTCTTTGCTGAGAGTAGAAGGTGTTGCTTTCGGAGTTGATCACAATCCGCCAGCTGAATCCAACTCAAAGGCATGGGAACGAGGAAAGCCCTTCATTGGAGTGACCGAATTAGACTGAACATCTGATTGTAGGGGATGTCTCCACTGTCCAAGCATGCTTTCAAGTTTTCTGATTGTTCCGGATCTTCTGGCTCGACTCTGGGACCAGGACCTGACCAAAGAAAGAACATTGTGATTACATAATATAATATATATATATATATACTTATAAATAATATATAATAAACTTGTAATATACTTATACTTATAAATAATATATATATATACTTATAAATAATAAACTTGTAATTGCTGGCCGAGCGTCTTCCAGCACTGCCAAGGCCCTTTCCCACTGCTGCCCCTTCTCACATGCAGAGATCGTTGCATTGAACATGATGATGTCCTGCTGAATCCTCCTGCATTGCCGCATGCCACCCAAATTCCAGGAACTGTCCAATGATAGGAACAAAACTCAGCATCTTCATAAATATTGGTTGCAAAGTGCACAAGTTACTGTACATAAGAGTGACAAAATGTTCACTCGCTTGTGTGTCATCAAAGAGCCCACAATTGTTTTTGTCCTGGAGTCCGGAGTCCTGGAGCAGCCTTTCAAACATGATTTAAACAAGTCCCTGGCCACTCCTGCTATCACTGTGGACATCTGATCAGCATTACAAATCAGGATAACTGAACATCCAAGGATCGGTGCAAAAACAGCCCCTCTTGACATAGAAGGACCCATACTGCACCCAATCATCAAAAGCCTGAATTGTAACTACAAGTACCTCAAACGTCACCGACCACGCAACACCTCAATTTAGCTGTATAAAAAACAACTGCAATTCCCCCGCACAATCAGCATGTCTCTCTTTCAGAAACTTCAGCAGAAACTTCAGCATGACCTACTGTCCTCTGCGCTGATCGGTGAAGCAGTTGCAATGCCACGAGCCAACGACCCGCTTTCTCCATCGTGCTGATGGCTGATGAGAAACTCACGGCCTTTGCGGTGCATCGACACGACCGAAAAGTGGTGGACAAAACAACCTCGACACGGCCTTCCAACAAAGGTTACGTGACCTGATAGGACCCTACCAGGACCCAAACCCAGATCTTCCAGCTGTCTCCACAAAAACCTCTCCAAGACCTCTTGCGCGACCGGAGTCCAAGTGTTTAAAGGGCAACCGCTCAGTGATTGATGTATGATATATATATATATATCATTATACCATGCTATACTTAGAGGTTGGATCAAAACATTGACCAGACCAAAGAATTTGAGGCTCAGTTTGATTTTACATGGTTCAGCTTGGGGACAAAAAAGCGTCTCTGTGTTGATGGCTTCAAGGTCTTGGACTAATGAAACCGCCGTGCCGCTGTGGCAACCAAAACTCATTATCATATGTCATATGGCAACCAAGTGGTACTGAGTGGAGTGAAACAACCAGGACACCACAGACTTGTCAGCTAACTCCTTGCAATCATACTACAGTAATACATAGGTGAATGAGAACTTGTGTCATTCATTCTTTAAGGCCCCTTCGCCCCTGCATGGAAAGCAAACAACACTAGCTGAGATGCATCGGTTTGCAACGACCACCGCTGGGCAGTGTCTAGCCAGAAGAGTGCCCAACGCCAGTCCATGTCATCCGCTGCCAGCAACGCATTCCTGTGATGGTTACTACCACTGCGAAGGGCACACATATGGTGCTTGGCAGGGCATCTGAAAAGTCAATTCTTCGATCGCCATGATAGTGGCATCAGTGTCTTCTGTCGAACATAATCGAACACATCAGTGCTATGGTGTAGTTTTGCAAATCGATCATACCGCCTGACACCAACCTTCTTGGTATCAATGGTTGAGTCTCCCTTCTACTTTTACTGAAAGATGTCTTCCAAGCTGCATGCGTTGAATCATGCCCATTTTCACTGAAGGATCCAACAGGCAATCTGAATCAATCTGATCAAAACAGGGTTTTGTCGGACTCGTCTTTTTCTCCAACCCCCTGGTCCTAAATGTTTTGCATTCACCTGGTGCTGGTCGTGAGGGCTCATGTGCTTCATTGATCAGGGGCCCTCCTACATGATGCGTCTTCTCAATCAACCCTTTGTTCAGTGGCTTCAGAGGTTCGATGGCACTGGCACCCGAAGATGTCTTGGACAAACGAGGGTCCATATACACTATGGTTGTCAGCCGATGTCAATGTGAAGCTTCAAGCTTTCAATCCCAGTATTCACTCAGCAGGCTCCTTTGTCATCCAAGTTGCAATGAGACAATATCAGGTTGCAAACCACTGTGCTCAAAGTCACCTTGGAGAAGTTCCAATCCTACTGACTTTGCATAGTTAGTTTTGGACGTGTTCAATCCCAATCTCAGTAGAATGATGGGCACAAAACCCATCGGAGAACACTGATCTGTAGAACGCCCAAGTGACCCAAGAGCTGCATGGCACGAGGCCAAAGGCCACTTTTCTCCTGGCAGACCAGGCAGCGCTGTTGATTCCTGTGGAAGCCTGCTCAACAAAGTGAGTGACGCCCTACAAATACAAATATGGCTGCACGACCAAAGATCGAAACAAAAGACCTAAAAGATCTAACAGCATCTAAAAGCCACTGCCGTAACCTGAAAGATTGATAGAAGGGTTCCACAAAAACAAGACAAGGGTGGGCTAGCTCTAAAGTTAAAACTTCATACAAATCAATCCATCCAGTGCCCAGGACTCCTGTGCTGTCATCACGGAGTTGAAGCTGGTGGTATCCTCCAACGACGGCTGTTACATGGCAAAGTGCGTATGTCACGACACAGTTGACTGGGCAAAGTGCTTGAAGTGCTCCGCTGGGATGGGTGGCCGTCCAGCGGTTGCAGAATGAAACAATATATACTATACAAGAATAAGAGCAAACCGTTTCAATGTGAATCTTTATGTAGCTTAGATACTTCAGTTCAGTTTTGTTTCACAGGGGTTGAGCTCTGCTTGCAAAGGCATATTGTCCTGCGTGCCACTGCTTATTTAGACAAGTTGGGGCAGCTGGATAGCTTTCGTAGGTTTGAATGGCACCCTTGAATAAACTCTTGGTGAAACCTCTACGGAGTCGGAGGCTTCAAGCATGCTTGTCATCCACCCAAGCCAGCACTACAATCTTTTTGTGGTTACAATCTTACCCCGAACAGGACCTACAAAATTATATAATCGAGCGAGGCCCAACAAACAGATCCGTCAAGGCTCCTCTTCCCTGGAGCACCTCATGGCATCCAGCAGCGCCAGGGACGAGAACCACCGTCCCATCAGGCTGCTCAAAACACTGTTGTAAACGATGGTGTTGGTCTTCTTGAGGCTTCCTCGATGGAGGCTCGGCTCATGACTGCTTGAGGGATCCACAGACTCCTTTCCAAAGAATACATTCGAAAGCCACTTCATCCATCACAAATCAGAAACATACACGCAAACAAAAAAACTCGGGTCAAATCAAGCTGATATGATTATAGTATATAATAGCCATAGGTAATAGGTACCAATCATAGATGATTATCCAATATGATATAACTGATGTCATATATGCCGCTCCGAGAGAAATGGCTTAGTTCCATCAAAATCACCACCCACCCAGAGTGCCGTCAACGATGACCAACTCGTCTTCCGATCGATCAAGGGGATCAATTTGCAGACTCAAACCCTAGAATTCGAACCACCATTGTTTTAATAGCCCTTACCGAACAACCATTGTTTTACTAAGGGTTTGACACTACAAAACCAGATCAACCCTTTAAAAAATGGTCTCTGACTTCCAGGGAAAGCTAAGAGTACGTTCATGATCCACTATCAACAGTCTGTCAATCTGAGCAAATCTGACCAGTCTTCAAACATCAGGAGAGCAGCGGTGGCTATTCCCAGTTATGAGTTATGAACGTCCTCTGCAGGATCCAAATCCAAATATATATCTGAGCCCACCAAAATGCCTTGGTTTTGTTGGACGCTTCCATGAAACCCATGTTTTCGGGTGGGCCCCCAAGACCTTAAACTCGGAGCTGCTGCACCAAGAGCACCAATCCAAGTGTCTGGCAGTGGCAAAGAGCCCCAAGCCTGCCATCCTCAAACTAAATTGGGAACCCATGTGCTAAACAGAACCACATCACAAGATGTCACGACAAAGCAGGGAGCTGGAGACGGTGATGAAAGTTCGCTTCCACAACTAAATGGATGGAGGTTTCTGGCTCTAGTCAGCAGGATTTGGGCATGTCAAGTAGGACATGATATAGAACAGGGAACCGCTAAAGTCACCCCACACTGTCCCACAAATGTCTCTCCCCCATGGAATTGCAGCAAACAAGAAGTCACCACAAAGTCATCACATTCTTGTCTCTCCCATTGGAATTGCAATTCTCAGGGGCTACTGAAAGCAATGCATTTGACTTGTTGCTCTACCAACACAATGGAAATTGCACACATCCATGGTAGTTCAAAGCTTCAACATCAGCATCGCCACCATGTAATTGCAGCACAAACAGCATGTGCCTCCCCATGCCTTCAGCCATCACAGCTCGAATGCAGCCCTTTTTCTTCCAAGTGCGAACCATAGATCCATTTCAGAATGCTTCCCGCTAATAAAACCCTCCCAAAAAGAACGAAAAACCATCCATCTGAAGTAGTACATGTCACATCAAAAACCGTACATTACCAATGGCCCAACGGCCAGTCCAATGGCCCTATAAATGGACTCTGGAGGAGACTCTCTGCAAGGCTAAGGCTGCGCAGAGACCACATCTGTCTTTTCCTGCTACTAACAGCTGCTACTGTAGCAGCTATTGATTATGAACCGTTCACTCCTCCAATCCTTTTCGGCACCCCGAGTCCCAGGTGCCAGTGACGTTCGCAGGAGCTGAGCACACCACTCCAAATGAAGACATCAGGCAAAAGGCCCCCATGCCTAGGGTCAAACCACGGCCGACGTCTCTAAATGGCCAAAAGGACAGAATCATAGACCTGCTCAAACGCAGCAACGCAGAAAAAAAACATAGCTGTGGCTACGAAGAACACACTAACAAACAGCACAACCACCACAAAATGTCAAAACCCTATGTAGTCCTTTATCAATCCTTTATGTGAAGATTACTCCTAAACAAATGTTCAAGGTAGTCTTAGTAATAGATCAGGAAGGCCCCTGATCCTGAATAATGCTTTGTTTATAAAATGGGTTCTCAATGGTGAAAAGGTTTCCCCAGGAAAAACAATCCTTTCCTGAGATCACTATTAAGCCAATGGCTGGCTTGCTGAGTTCCCTTTTAAACTTAGCTCCTGAGGCCAAGGGTGGTGAGATCAAAAGGTAACAGAAGAATACAAAGAAGCTGAGATAGGAACATGAATACAACAATCAAATGCAAAAGGACTCCTCCCAAGAATCCAGATTTGTTTGGGTGGTAATTTAGAGGCCCACCCATTTGTTTAGAGATGTTTAGAGGGAGGGGAAGGGATCCCCTTTACGAATCAGAATCCAACACTACTCCCTCTCGAATCTGAAATCCCGACCTTCCGCCTCCTGCGGAGCTGTCGGTTACCTCAAGAGACCCCAACAAAATACGAACCATGTGCCGTGTTTCTTGCCGTGCGCCGAAAGGCCGGAGGTCTTCCAAGAGGTGCTGCGCCGTGCGCCACTGGCGCTTCCGCGCCACCAGGCCCAAGAGCGCCGAGTAGGTGAAAAGATCCACCGGTCTCTGAGCCTTGAGCTCCTTGGGCGGGTGTGTCGGAGCTCCTGGGTGGTCGGTCCGGGGGTGGAGTTGAACCCGGGCTCGGGGCGTTGGGAGCGTCTGGTATTGCGTTGTTTGTTTTTGTCCCTTTTGGCCGGCCATGTCGGGTGCGGTGAGATGCATGTGATAGGAACAGGGTAGACTTAAAGGTGATGGGATTGTGGCTAGACAAGCTGGTTTCATGATGTGGCTTGAGGAGCTGGGGCTGTTTGTCCTTGTGATTCTTCTTTGTGATCCTGTGACTTGACAGCTGTGAACAATTGGCAGAACAAGGGGAATTGATGGAGCAAAATTATGTTTGGGATGGGAGCTGGTTCGTTGAGATGGTTGGCTGAGAGGAGGTCTACTCTCTAACTTGGCCAAACGGATGGCTCTTCAAGGCTCAAGAACCGTCGCCAGGTTCAGTGGGAGAAATAAACAAAAGAAAAACACCACACCCAAACCCCCTTGCCTGGCCTCCCTTCTGCACTGGATCCAGATCCAATCTGTATAGGAATCGATCGAAGAACCTGTGAGGTCCCGAAAGCCCTTCACCTCTTCTTACCGAGAAAAAACTACCAGGACTACCCTATTCAGCCCTGGCGGTGTGTCTCAAAATAGTATCAGCTGATTACACCGTCCCAACCATTCCATGGAACTGAAATACCATGGAATAACAATAAGTATATATATATATAGAGAGAGAGAAGCCTTAATTATATACATCCCAAGGATCCCCAAGGTAGATAAAAATGACCTAAGTGGAGTGTCTGGGTGACTCATTCATAGCACGTTTCAAGGCATCCAAGGCTCCCCTAGGAACTGCACGGCTTCCTCCCAGCGCTTCTGCCGTAAAGCGCGCATCGCGCCATGGCTGTTCCACATGGACCGAAGGGCCAGAACAAAGGCTGCGCAAATCACCACAATCCAAGCGGAATTATCATGGATTTGGGATAGGTGTGCAGGGCGTGCGGCACATACGCTGCTGTACATATGTCCCGAACTATCCCAACGAAGTCAATCAAACTAGTTCCTAGTTGATGTCAAGGTCAGCTGTTCCCCTTGCTGATTGAGGGCCCCCATGTGTCCCAATTGAACAGCTTCATCGCTCGCAGTGGATCGTTCATCTCACTAGTCTGGTACATGACGGTCAAGGAGAAAAAGGAACAGCTGTGGGGATTAGTTCTGTGTTGTTCTGTACATTGTACACACCATGTATATATAATATATATTTATAGCGAGAGAGAGAGAGAGAGAGAGAGTGACTCAGTGAACCTCTAGTTGTAGCTAATTGTAATTAATTGCTTACACTTCTGACATGGAATCAATGCAGCTAACTACGTATGTCATTTGGAGCTTGCTTGGTCGTGGGACCGCTGTGGGACTTCTGTCCTTCTTAGTGTCTTCCGCAAACGAAGAATTCCCCATTCCGACATGGACTTGACTTAAATCATCTTAAATCGGTAGCGCGCATCACTTCCAGGCCTCACATCCGGCCCGGCAACCCTCCATGCCTTGTTCAACTTTCAACTCGTACTTCTCACAGTCTGCCGCTGAGTCAAAGGAGATGCCACTGTCTTTGAATAAGGCCTGTCGCCCAAACATGGATGCAAGCGTTTGGCGTTGCTGCCTTCGTCCCAATTCGTCCCAGCCAGTTTTCTCGGTCAAGCCACCCCAAGATCCGAAACCAGCCATCACTGGTCCATCACCACATCCATCACCTCTCTAGCCGAGTCAGGTCTCCGGTCTGGCAACAGTCGGTCTCCACTTTGGTCTCAAACCATGTCCAGTCGTCATGCCCGAGCTCCTTACGACCAAATCATGTCTTGCCTACTAGCACAGGAACCCCACGAATCGTGGTGAGGCTTCACGAAACCAGCCTCGGGGACGCGTGTCAGTTGATATGGGCAATTCCAGCCATGTGTTTGCTCTCGGGAGGTCCTCGGTCACTTGGCTCGATCATCGGTGCCAACAGCTGTGACGTTTCATTCAATCTGTCGCAAATTCCCTGACAATTCGTTTAAGCTTCAGATGCTTGCCTTTGACTCGGACTAAGGACATTGATTACATTGATTCATTGAGCATTGTGCCACCAAAACGTGATACAACATGTACCAGCATGTTCCATTAAATGCATGTCCAACGAACCACCCGCCCTACACTTCTTCCCGCGACCTCAGAGACTTCCACGTGCCGGGTGGCTGAAGAATCTCCATGCCCCATGCGCGAGGCCGCAAATGCATGAATCCACTGTCTCCCAAATTTGCAACCTCTCGAGGACAGGATACAAACGATGGAGACGGACCGAAGGACTCTGGACATACAAGATGTTCGCGGAAAACTCACATGGACCCTGAACACCACGGGTGCGTAAAGGAACACCGTCTTTCAGGGTGCCATTCGACCCGGGTCCAGATTAGTTTTCGAGAGTGTGATTGAACACGTTCCAATTCCCAGAAGGGGAAATGATCTAAAAGACCAAAGATGTGACCTAACGGCCCCCAGCGAGATGTTTGTGTCCATGAGGTGTGTCCTCCAGGTGCATCATCAAGTAGCATTGGTTGCCTCACCCATAAGAGCAAAACTAAATAGGCATGATACTATATCATGATACGATGAATAACAGTTGACACATGTTCATACGCTGTTTTGGGGATACTCCACACTCCTGAGACCTCTTATCATGCAGCACTCAAGGCCGGTCAGGAGACTCTAGAACAAACACGAAGTGTAATAGGAATCTGCTGCTCAATGTGTACAGTTGACCGGCGGCTCTATTTCAGGCACACTTTGCCATAAGTGCTGTTTTTGGACCTCGGGCCGACCATAAGAGCGACCATCTTCAAACCTCTTGTAAATCATCAGATTGCCTGTGGTTCGATCCTTCTTGGCGAACGGTAAAGATTCGACAAACAAACCGGCCTGCTTTAAAGTCTTGATCGGTTCACCATTCTCTCCCCGTTTTGATCGTTCTTCACCCTCCGTGACGCTGCCCGATCCAAACCCAGTTATTGAATCCTGTTTTCTTGAAACTTCTTCCTCAATGATACGAACGTGGACCGGGTACAACTCAAGTACAGCTAACTAGAAAGACTACCTGGTCGTCCTGGCGGCCCTGCTTCCCGAATCATGCTGAATTCCAGTGGGACCATCTCGGAGTATATTAAAATATGGGCACCTCCCAAAGGCCCTTCTGGAAGAAGGGAGATAGACCAAAACCCATTGGTTGGAAGCGGTTTTTGTTCAAGCGCAAGTCCCTACCAGCAGGTGACGCTGTCGTCGCAAATAGCGAACGCGCCATGGTGAGTTGGCTTCATGGAAGGTGTGCCACTAGGAAGGTTTCGCATTGTTTCGATACGAGCTGCGACCTTGTTCTGTGGCCTGAGCAGATCAAAGCCTCGGTTGAGCTTTCCCCGGAATGGCGGAGGCATATCGAGGTTGGCATGATGTTGTCTCTGGTGAACTTCCAGACGTCTTGGCAGACTTCGCAGCCCGAGTTTGACTTTCCTTGTCATCGCGGTGGCCTGCGTCGTTTGGGTTACCTTAGTGCTACCACCCGTGTTTCAAATTTTCTGAATGTTCCTCACCACAGGGATGTCTGCGACAACTTGTGGAAACATTTTCATGCCGGTCGGCATTCCACTTACTTACAATTTGAAGGCCTACTGGAAGCCCTGACTTTCCTGTCCATGCTCTTTTTTGGTTCCAATTGTTCTTTGCTTGCATGCATTGTACAGCTGTCGAGGTTCCCTTCGTGTTTGCCTTACGCATTACGCATAGGGCAACCACCGCATAGCTCTGAGACTTGTGCGTGAAACTACAAAGGCAACAAAACCATTGGTTCGATTGGTTGGGGGTCCCCTTATAAAAATACACAGCCATCTCAATCATGCTCATTCCGCGAGCGCGGCCCTGCGATCGCTGAGGCCCGGCCTGAACCTTCGTGCCGTCGATGGCCATGACCTAATGAATCCAGGTCCAGGTGGTGAATATCTGGTGGATGTGGATGTACAAACATCTATAGAAATCTAGTGATACCTGTAATGAGAGTCTTCAAGGAATCTGAAACATTGTGGAATCCTGTGCTCCATTCAAAACCAAAAAAACACCGAGTAATCAAACACAGGCGGCCAGCGCCCGCCATAAAACCCCAAAAACAGGCCATACGGCGTTCATCATTTATATGTCCTTCTTTCACTGTTTCATACTGTTTCCCCATTCGTGCCACACGTTCGCCGACGCTAAGCCGGACGCCAAGGCCGTGCAAGCGCCGTAGCTGGTGGCGTCCCGCTCGGCACGCATCAGCGCGGCGATGGGGCGCCCAGGGTTGGCATGGACGTGCCTGGTGCCGAGGCGGTGCGGCATGGAGGCGCAGCTGAAGCGCCACATGCGCGTGGCGAAAGGGAGGCGCGGGGTGAAAGAGTGGAGTTGGGGGGTTCTTTTGGGAAGGTCATGAGGTGTAATGTGTTTTGGAGTAGTGTCAGAATACAAATATCAGGACAGGATCTGCTGCTATTGACAACGGGACCGAATTATTCAGGGGTGTATGTAAGTCACTCTGTTTGATGTTGGTATTCGGGTTGTTGGGGTCTGGCAGGGTGCAGACTTTCGGAGTTGGCACGGAGATCCGTGGCTCCGGAATCGGGAGGAAGCGAGAACTGATAGCCAAGTTACTTGGCGCTGAGCTGCATCAACTCGTCGGCATACCTTGCAACGGTTGCCATGCCAAGTCAATCAGCGTTGGATGTCCCAAAAAACTGTCCAACATGAGGGGTATAAAATTCACAGACTGAGTGGTGAGTGGTGGGTTGATTGCCCCGGATTTGGTAAACCAGGGTTTCCGCATACAAATTTAAAAACATCACAGTCAACAATCAAAAAATAACAAACAAAACAAACAATGGGTCAAAACATACGCAATGTTTGATTTTAGATTGTTTTTTACTTGTCATCAATCCCTTGGTGTGCTAGTCCTCGCAGCTTATTTTTTGCTTTAATTAACGCCTATCATTATATATAACGCCATGGGTGCGACAAGCGGCTGCAAACAGCTGACAACAGCAGACCTGTGACCTCTAGACCCAAAAGGCCGCAGAAGGCTCCTCAATGTGATGGTCAACTAGACGTTTTTGCATTACATGTTCTCACATATTTCTACACGCATTGATGTTTTTTTGATGTTGTTGGGGGGTTTTGATTCTTTGGTAATTTGAAACCCTTTCCCACGAAGCCCGGGTTGTGAGATTTAAAGAACTCTTTGGAGATGTTTCCGAGTACATATTAATCCCGAATATTTGTTTTTAGATTATCGTCCTTTAAAGCCGCTTTGCCGATTTTGGTGGGGTTCTAATATTAGGATCGAAAAACAACCCTAACTGCCCACCTCTGTCCACCGTATCCACCATGACACACCGCGTTTACACCAGCAGGCTTTCCTTCCCCCCAATGGCACGGACTCACCTTTCGAAAGCTTTAGTTGCTAGTCTAATAAAGAATTAATCTTGGCTTTTGTAAGGGGAAGAGGTAAACCTTTCGATCTGGAGGTTTTCTCAAAATTTTGATAGGAGGTTAGTAAAAGCTTGTCCGGGTGACTTTTTGGTTATTGATCAATGATTCAAGGATCCTCCCACTAACCCTATTTAGGACAACCCCGACTTCACGGATCCCCTATTACTGCAAAGAGAATGCGCCCAAGTTTTTGTTAATAGGGGGGCCCGTGTGCTTTAATAGGTGGAGGGGATTAATGAGTACTTTACAGTAACATATTCTTCCCCACCTGTCAGGTGAGGGTTGTTGGTTTTTATGTCAGCAGCCATCCTCCTTCTCCTCCTCCGTCTCGGCCTCCTCTTCCGGAACTCAACCGCAAGTGTAGAATGGCAGTGTTCCTCGCCGGACCTCAACCGCCAGCTCCGGGTGGCAGTGTTCCCCGCCAGACCTCAACCCTCAACCGCCAGCTCCGGATGGCAGTGTTCCCCGCCGGACTTCAACCACGAGTTGGGGCTGGCCGTGTTCCGCGCCAGACTTCAACCGCGAGTTCCGGCTAGCAATGTTCCCCGCCGGACATCAACCGCGAGGTTCGGCGGGCAGTGCTCCCCGCCGGACCTCAACCGCGAGCTTCGGCTAGCATTGTTCCCCAACGGACCTCAACCGCAAGTTGGAAGATATGCCAGAAAGAATGTCAGAAGATATGCCGGAAATAGTGTCAGAAAGAATGTCAGATGAAGGTATGCCAGAAAGAATGTCAAAGATATGCCGGACAAAAATGTGAGAATGCATGTCAACGATATGCCAGAAAGAATGCCGAAATAATGTTTCAATACATGCTAGAAACTTGGTCAGATTGGAATGTCACGGTGGGGATCATTCGAAGTTGATTTTGATATCCGTTGCATTTTTTAAGTTTCATTATACATTGATTTATTTAACGTTATACCTATTTTGTATATGTAATTTCTTTGGAAACAATGACTTATCTAATTAACCACTTGACTATTGCACTACCACTTAGCGGCAGTGAAAAATGGTATAAGTCACTTAAGTCTGTATATTCTCTCTTCACTTCTTAATAGACCACTCAATGTGGAGAAAAGGGGAAACAATATGAAACAATCATATCAAATTAGTTGGTTGCTCACATGGCTGAGGAAGACTTGTGAAAAAGGTGACTCGGCGACTCCTATGCGTTCACGTCCTGACCCAACGCATCTCCATCATCGATCCTGAAGAACATGCTCTAAAGATTTCTAAAGGATTTCACGCACCCACACAATGCAAACCAAGGCAGGCATCACCTCCCAATTACAGTAGTTCATTTCTGGAGATTGATTCCAGCACCTTTCACGTACAGTAGCGGGACCTTTCAGTTGAACTGCTGGCGCTGATTCTCACAAGCTCACACAGGCAACAATGGCAACAGTAGAGTAGATGATTCCAAACGCCCCTCCCAGCAGTTTCATGTACACTCCGACTCACTAACATGGAAGTGGAAAACCATGGAAAACCCTGTGTTTGTAGAGGAACCCATGTTCCACTTCCATGTTAGTTCCAGTGTAGCTGTTGTTGTTTCTGGGTGCGCCTCCAAGTCTGCTCCATTCTTTGGCACGCCGCGCCCTGCCGGCCCTGCCCCCCCTCCGAGCCGCTTCGCGGCATCCACGCCGTACTCCGAGAACTGCTCCATCTGCCCCACGCCGTCGGCCACACCAGCAGCCTTGGTGCTGAAGAAGAAGGCATCTTCACAGCGGCCTGGCGATCGGAACGTTTCCAACCGACCGACGTGGAGGTTGTGACGAGAAGCACGAAGGGGTGGGGTTGTGGGTCAAGCCAGTCAAGAAACTGCAATTGCTTTGACCTGAAATGACCACCCAGCATGGAACAGCGCGTGCCAGATGCTATCTCACGCAGGACTCACATTGCCTTGTGGCAAATAGGTGCCCTTCAGTGCCTATTGGCAGCCTCACTTAGGACCCAACATTTCGGGCTGAAATGTTTCTGTCGTTGAGCACTGGCTCGGTGCGTCACTCGCCACACTCACTTGCGAACGGTCCGACGGTTCGCCCCTCAAAGCCCTTCCACAGATGTGGGGTGCCCCCCCCAAAAAAATCACCAACGGCACACAGTTGAGCATTCTGGTCCGTTCCGCCCGTCGCCCGTGGGAAGATCCACTCCTCCACTCGATCCCCTCACCTGACGGCTTGGAGAGTCGGTGCGCTCCCGCTTCGAAGCGGATGGACCTGAGGCAAAGGGCAAATGGAACTGCCATGGAACCCACCCGAGCCGATATATATATATATATATGTATATCATGTTAAGTTATATGTTTATCCTCACGCTCTGAGGAAGCTGCAGGCACTTTTCCAGAGTGGAGCCAAGTTCTGCGAGCAGGTATCGTTGCTGCGCAAAAAGGTTTTGCTCTGACATCACTTACTGCAATATTTAATATTGAACCACCAGCACATTTTTTGAGGGTTCAAGGATCACTGAGGTTTTACAGAATCTTCTGTGGGTGTCAAGAACCACGCTTGACAACCCCAAAGAAGCACGCTTCAGTTCCAAGAAGCCCCGGAAGGTCAAAACATCTCCTTCCGAAACCATTCCACCTGCCGGAAGATTGCCAGTTTCTGATGTTGTTTGGGCCAAGTCAAACATTCCACCGGTCCAAGTGGCTCCGGCTCCGCCTGCACGGTCTTCACCTTCGCTGGCGCCGTCACGGCGGTCACCTTCGCTGGCTCCACCAGCGCAGGGGCATCCAGCGGCTCCGGTGTGGGCGAAGGCTCCACCGGTTCCGGTTCAGGGGAGACCTCCTCCTGTGATCACGGCGAGAATGTGGTGGCAGGAAGTAGGAAATGCTAAAAATGTTGATTTGTTGAGAGAGAGTGGGTTTGAAGATTTTGGAAGAGGCCTTGTAGGGTTGAGGTGAATGTTCATCACCACTGTAACTGCAATGAATAAAGTTTGGTAGGACTAGTAGGATAAACCAGCTGTGGCTTGGCCTCGCCTTGACTAAGAGTTCTTCTGCACAGGTTCGATTCAAGTGATCGTGTGGCAAACCTATTTGATAGCCGAGGGTGCCCAAGTCTTCCAAGAGCATGGAAATGATGGATAGCAACCCATGCCGTCACGCCTTTACCTTCTGGCCTGCAAATTGTAGTAGAAATGGTCACTCACCATATATTAGGGAAAGGTTCATTTTCCACCCAGCAGATCTGAAGAAACGGCGGATCATACGAATCATGTGCCAATTGAAGATCCCTTTTGCGCCTTTTGGATCTCTCTTGAGCATTCTATTCACAGTCTTTGACCAAAAATCCTTCCCACCTTCGGCTCAGAGAGGGCACCCTCGGAGTCCGCCAGCGGCAGCGTGGCCAAAGAAGAGCAAGGCGATGCAATTCCATCGCCCTCCTCGTGGAGCGCGTGGTGTTTGTTTCGTGAAGACACCGGACCATGCATGGCTACCAGGGTCACTGGGGGGTGCTCCTGCATTTTGGGGGGGAAGGGTGGAACGGGTTAGCAAGCAGGACCAAACAAAACAAGCCAAGCAAAGCAAAGCAAAGCAACACAACACGATCCACTACACCGCATCGCACCGCAAAGCAAGCAAAATAAGCAAGCCAAGCCAGACAAGCCAAGCAAAGCAAGCAAGCAAGCTAAGCAAGCTAAGCTAAGCAAGCTAAGCTAAGCAAGCTAAGCTAAGCAAGCTAAGCTAAGCTAAGCTAAGCTAAGCTAAGCTAAGCTAAGCTAAGCTAGCAAGCAAACAAGCAAGCAAGCAAGCAAGCAAAACAAAAAAGGAAGATACGCAAGCAAGCAAGCAAGCAGGCAAGCAAGCAAGCAGGCAGGCAAGCAAGCAAGCAAGGAAGGAAGGAAGGAAAGGCAATGAGAAAGGCCAGGAGAAAGGCAAGGCAAAGCCAAGCGAAGTGAAGAGCAAAGCAGTTGAAAGCAAAGCCAAGAAAGACTGCAAGACTTTCGTGGCTGGAATTCAGCCTTCACGCTACAACCTGCAGCAATATCCCCTTCTCTACCCGTGGAACATCAAGAGCCGTTCAACTCGTGGGCGATGGCCAGGTCTCCTCTGAGTCAGACACGGCCATCATCGTGGCCATCGTGCTCATGCTCAGGACCTTGGCTCCGGATTCGGCCCTCGGCTCCGCAGGGGGCCACTCTCTAGCTGCTCTAGCTGACGAAGAATGATCCAACTCATCACTTTCACCACACCCTAAACCCTAAACTCCAAGAAACCCTAGTCCCCATTGTAGAGTTCAGCTGGTCGGGAAGTGGTGGACCATGGTGAATCTGTTTGAAACCGTGATCTTCGATTCCCTCACACCCAGAAGTCACAGACCTCACATCCGGACTCATCATCTCACATCTCAAGCGTCCTCAGACTCACATCCCAATCATCTCCCAGACACTGGTGCCAAAGTGGGCTGCGGCATCTCTGGAATGCCCAGCGTCTGCCCGAAGAAGGCCACGTGGGGAGGGAGGCTTTCCATCCTAGGCACTGGCGCCCACCGAACCAGCAAATGCAGAACCCACCGTTGTGGGCTGTGGCCTCTTGTGAGCTTGTCCTGAACAAAACAAACACAATTCCACCTGTAGGCCTAACATCAAACAGTTACAGGACAAAAGCCAGCCGCCTAGGACGGGCCAGGATGCTTGACTCTAAGTTTTCGTACACAAGAGTTGCTCTCCTGTGGGAATTGTATGGAATCCTGTACTGGATCCTGTCCTCTCCCAAGATGTTCCTGAAGAGGTCAGGTGAACAAACAAAAAAGTGAATAGAAATCTTAACTGGCTATCAAGAGGGAAAAAAAAAACATGAAAAAACAAACTGGAATCATTTGGCCTATGGAGCCCGTTGAATGATCTCAACTATTTCTGTGGGCTTCCGTGATTTCCATTGATTTCCATGCTAAACATCAAGAACAACCAAGGTTGTTGACTTCGCCCCTTGTTGGAGCGCCTCACATCACTGCAGCTTGGCCTCGTCATGTCTGGGTGCCTCAGACCGATGGGTCGCAAGGTCTGACCGTTCCGCGGTCACCCGCAATGGCTGGGGGGGACCAAGCGGCTCACACGTCTACGGCTGTCCAAGCGGATGTGGAAAGCTCTAAGCGATTCCGTCTTTTCCACATCTCACTGAAGGCTGTCCCCATCCTGCCATGGCTTTTTTTCACCCTGAGTGGAGTAACAAAATCTGTCGAAACCAGTCGACGACTCCTCGAGTCGCACGCTGCATCCTGACCAGTCAAGCGCCCGGTGAGGGTTCCAGCCGAAAACATGCGAAGAGTATAGGAACCCTAAACCCAAAACCCCAAACCAGCAAGCTCCTATAGACCCTAAACCCTGACATACCGTGACATACCCTAACGCTGTTTGGTGCCCAAGCTGGCTTGCGCTCCTATAGACTCCCTACCAGGTGCCGGAACCGCACGGACTGGACTTTGATCGCCATACTTGGATCACCTGGCTTACTTTCAAAACACCTGTAGCCCCTAAAGATCTGCACTAAGCAAGCCTACTCTTCCTCTCTCTCTCTCTCTCTTCTTTCTGCAACAAATCACGGAACCTCAAAACGAGTCCCCACGTGGGGCCATCCTCATCGAAGGCTCGAGCGGCTCGGCGCCACTGAGCGATTCCGCCGAGCCACAGCTTCAGCGGCAGCAGCCGGTTGGGGCCATCCTCCCATTGAATCTGGCCCCCAGCCCTTTTGATCACAAATTTGTACTCCGTGTTGATGTCGCGGCTCTTGGTCACCTGCGTGCGGCTCTTGGATTGCCTTAAAAACACAACAGAATATGGACCCGTTACTTGGTGAGTTCGAAGAAGGTCTGCAACCACAGAAGGCCCAAACGTTCCATCCCTTCATGAGGAGAGATCCCAGTAACAAGGGCGGCTTCTTAGGAGTTAATTGGACGTTGAGAAATGGACTAAAAATTGAATTGGCAACAGGACCATCATAGGATGAGGGATTAGTGAATTTAAGGGGGTTGAAGGAAGGCAAGAAAGGCACGTGGTATTGCAAACAAATGCAACCAAGAAAAGTTGACCAAGCGAATTGGGGGGTTTATTGCACATTGCCAGAACGAGGCGGACCAAACTAATAGTGGGGGTTCTTAATGATGTCTTTAATTGCATTATGTTCTTTCTGAGCTATTGGGAAAAAGTATGAAAAAGTACGCTCTCCATGTACATACTGCAGGATCAAGGGTCTGTACAGCATCTGGGTTTCAATGTCAAGCAGGAAAAGAAACACAAAGCTTGCTGAAGTAACTGGAAGCTCACGTCCAAAGGCATCTGGATGGTGGTGAACCACACCTTGACCGGATGCCGGGTGCTGCAAGGGACACCCATGGCCCGGAAACAACCAGCCTAGGTCCTGGAAGGGGCAGCACAGAGCAAGCAGTGGAACACGCGGGTTGGTGGGATTGGCTCACGAGCAAAGGACATCATTTACAAAGTGGTCTGGTGCCGGCTCTGAGTTCTATGCTGGCTTGGCCGTGAAAACAAAGGCTGGAACTGCACAAACCCCTAAGTTGGCATGACAAAAAAAGTCACAACAGTTGTCGGATCTCAATTCCGCATAATCTCACACAACTTCTGCGCACCAAAGCATATACACATCAGGTGTGAGGCCAGGTTTACAAAAAAGGAGTTGAACGGGCAGAACCACCACCTACATTGGAAACCAACAACGACATTGCCAAAACCAAGGCAAGAACATACAAGGACTCTGTTGTGAGCAAAGGTCTTACAGTCTTACTGCCCCAGGTAAAAAGGTGCGTTCATACCCTTTCAACCGAGAATGTGTCTACAGATTGGGAGCCGCCGGCTTCGGCGCCAGCTCAGCATCACCAAGTGGCTGGGTAGCATTCGATATGAGTCCGCAGAAGCACACCTTCTTGCGGTTTCCAGGTTCCCAGCGACGCACCATGGCCCACCACGTAAACATCATCACCAAAGTCTCGGTAGACCGAGCGACCGACCGAGACACGGCGCCGGTCACCCCGCCGGTCACGTGTAGGGTAGGCAAACACCCAACGCGTCCCAAATGCATCGTCCGTTCGCACCTTGCCACACCGGTGGGGCAAAACTCAAGGTGAGACTGAAAGAAATACCGATATAACATCCGTGCCCACAACATCTTGCTCCGCAGTTTTGGTCAAACCACCGGGAAAACAGCTTAGGCGCTCTTCTTCCGGAAAAGGAATCAACTCATCACGCCACCGGGGAAAGGACAGGTTTGAATCCGTTGGGATTTGAGCCACAAAAATGCTCAAAGGTTACTATAGGATACTATATAGGGTGTGCCAGCGTGTCCTCCCCGGTCCAAAATGTCCATATACATAGATCTCACAAAATGTTCCCTCTGCAACAGTCTCAGGAGGGGTGCGGCAGTGCGAGCAAGCGCTAACAAACATCTGAAACAACTATACAGTTTTCAGCTGTTTTCAGGCCCTTGCCGCAACAATCACACGAAGACCTTATTGGCTGTCACCCCATTGGCTGTGAGTCGAAGACTTCCCCGTCTCATCCTGCGTCACTGTCTGGTATGGCAGCCATTCCACATGGTGGACCGGTGCACCAAACAGGTCAACGGTCACACCGGTCCGGTCAACGTCCAACGTCACCGTCCGGTCGACCCGTGGACCCAAGGCGCCGGTCTCCGCACGCACGCGAAAGGTCACCTCGCCGTTCGGTCGCGGAGAAGGACCGTGGAGGGAGGATGTGCGTGTTTTGGGGAGGGCCATGGGAGTGGGAGGAAAGCAAGCTGGTTCATCCTAGACCAGAAGATTTAGCATGTACCTTGATCTTTCGGGCAAATTTAGAACATGTCATCATGGCGCAACAAAGGGATCTACCACTGTTTGCGTCCTAGAAATCAGAACATGATAAACCACATATGCCCTGCCCCGCTTCCAGGCAAACTTGGATCTACAGGCTCAAAGCCCCTTGTAGAAAAAAAGGGATGTTCACTGCTTTGGCCTGGGTCTATGTCTACATGGAGGGAATCCTCTTGGAGCACTGGAACAACCAGCTTGAGGCAATTCTGGTCTGTGCGAAATGCTACTCACACCACCTTCCATCGACAGCACATGTGAGCCCCAAAAACTGCAGTACATAATGTTCTTGCCCAATGAAGGTTTCCAGAACCGGGGTTGAAGGATGGAAATCAACCTGCCGCCAACTTCAACATCAAATGCAAAATTGTATGAGAAAGTGGTTCCTCCCTGGAAAGCCGCTCAATGTTCACAAACCATTGAGCTATCGGCCTACAAGTTGACATGTTCCATTCCTGAACCTGATTGTGCAATATATTAATGGATGGATATTATATGGATATCACAGATCGGCTGAGCCCCTTGTTTGACAGAACCTTCCCGATCACCCGAAAACCTGTGCAGCCATCTGACGGTGGCATTGATAAAGCCATTGCGGGCATGATTTGCGACGGAGGTAAAGGCTGCCATGCCTGGTAAAACTCACTACCAAGCACCCGTGGGGGTGTTACATTCCCTGGTCTCTGCTGGTGACGGCTGCGGGAAATGATGCGGGTTTGTCAGTGCAGGCTACATCATGCAGCAGAATGATGTGGCAGCTTACCGGGGAGGAACCAACATTTTTTGAATTGGAGAACATACCATGCCGATCAATGTTGCAACATAGGCGAATACAGCAACCTGGAACTGCAAACACGTCGTAACCCAATCCGGAATCAAAATTCCACCCGTAACCTATGTTTCTTGGTGAATAAAGTTTGCTGTTATAGACTTTGAAGTAGTCTTTGGTATTCAACAATCGTTGTCTGGGTTTCAAGAAAGCCCTTTATTGAAACTCCTTTGACGACGTAAAGGGAACTCTTCAAAGCTCCCGGCTCCCCTCGTTCCATGACAAACCGAGATCCACAAGATCGAGATCCCACTGCGCGGTGGGTGTCGCTCTCTTTTGGACAGCTGCTCTCGGGCGCACAAGAGCAAGTTGGTGGCAGCATCAAATTCGGCGTCCAGCTGTTGTTGCTGTACCTCAGGCATGCAAGACACGCCTCGATGACCAGGACGGAAAGAAACCGGTCAGAACCCACGAGCCCGAATGAACACTCGTATGTTGAACAGGAACACTCTCGCGTGGCAGTCTCCAAAGCTGGACAAGCTGGGGTGACACTCGTCTATAATCTGTTACAGTGTTATGGGGCACCCTTCTGAGACACCCGTGGAAACACACGCATGCTCCAATGGCACAGCCACGCCAACGCACTTTCCATCAGAGCCCAAACCGCATGGCACAGCGACTGCAGAGACGTCATTTCGCGCTGGACCAGGATTTCTCGCTCTTCACAAGAAGATGAAGTCACGGTTGGTGACGGTCTTTGGAGCGGAATCGATCAGAATCGGAGCATTTTTCAATCCATCTTCAGAACTCGAGTCGCCAAAAGCTTCTCCCGACGACGTTCGACCAACCAGACTATAAACGGGAACCCTTCGCTACGCATTCGTGAAAAAAGAGGAAACTGGCAGCATCTGTGGAATCAAACGGCTCACAGTGACAATACGATGCTCCAAAAACCAGCGCCTACTGTCGGCATGACTATGTTTAGCCCTAGAAATGCTGAAAGATCTGAAAGGCGATGGGAGCTCAACCATCTTCACAGCCTATATATTGCTGGTGTTGTGTGGGGTTAATCTTCACTTTACGACACAACTGGCTCATCCAGCTCAAGGCTCGAACTAAATGGATGCAGAACTGCAAAACTTAATTACTGCTGAAAATGAAGGACGGTTGCTCCTGCAATGTGCACTGCGAAAGGCACGTCCTGCTGTCACTGATGCCGTTCCTTTCTTTTGGTTGGGACCCGGATTGACCGGAACATGAACAGAACAAACTACCACAGACTATACCAAAGCAATGAAGACATGGTCAAGCTACAAAGGTCCTTTTTTGTGATTCCCAGATTTGACCTGTCACTGCTGTCACTGTCGGCATTCGCCAAGAGACTTGGTATTCCCTCTCCAAGGCTTCGCGCATCGCATTCAAGCGGTGTTCTTCGTCCCTGAGGGCCTCAGGTGGATCGAGGATGCTCGAAGGTACCGTTCGGTGGCCAGAGTTGCTCGCTGAGTCTTCCCGTGTTGGCTCAGAGTTGGATGGACTTTGGATGAGTTAGGCAGGGGGGTTCGATGCTTAAAGAGTTTTGCTCCCACTCAGCAACTCAGTAGACCATTTTGGGAGCATCCTTACTCCCAACATGGACGCATCCTTGCTGGGTGGATCTGGCTCTCTGCTCTGGCCAGTCCCACCAAATCATGGAGCAAAGGATGACAACACCCCCAAAGCAATTTACATTTACATGATCTTCCCATCCCTCCCACAACTAGTTCCATGACAATCTTGAAGTGTTCTAAACAACAAGGTTTCTGCAGCTGGTCCACATTGAACAAGAATTCGACTATGTTCATATGTTTTGAAAGCGCTGACCATTAAGATTGAAATGAATTAAATCATCCCGTTGATTCAACGGGTGAACAAGTGAACAAGTACACATTTACTGTAGCTACATATCTATATATATAATATGTGTGTGAGAACACGGCAGTTGGACTATCAAAAATAAAAAAACGCACATCACACGCATCAACAGAGTGCCCAAGCCTCCCTGTGATCATCTGTGTCACCCCACCTTCTCCGCCATGCTTTGTGCTTCCACATCACCCCGGTGGCGCTCCTCGCAGGCCCTGTGGAACATGGGTGGAGTACAGTAGGGGACTCTCCCGGATGCGAGGATGAATCAGCCTGCTACAAATGGGAGCGACTTCACCAGAAACCATGTGACTCTCTATATATTTCCACAAAAGCTACTAGCTACTGTAAAAAACGACATCCAGCTGGTCCAACTCAAATGATTTGTCATCCCCCACCATGATTCCTGCTCACTGACACATATAAATACAAACATACAATTACCCCCCACGCACTTTCAAGCACATGGCCTCAAGAGCTCTTCGTTGCTCTCCGTGAGAACGGCCATGCGCGCACGCTCGTTGTCCAGCGTTGTCTGGACGAGGTGCGGAATGGTTCGGCCGAGGGTGACGGCCCGGTGGCTGTGATTGAGGTTGTGGTAGTGTGGACGGAGTGTGTCGGCTATACACAAATTGGTTCAGCAATGCTAAGCATGGTTAAGTTTTGCGGGGAAGAATTTCTCATGCATTGCCCGAGGTCGAAGTGAACTGCCGAGTACACAAATGCTCTTCAGGTATCTATCCCTGCAGCTTGATCCCCTCCAAGGACTCACCCAATCGGACCAGAATTGACACTGAGCCCTGGTTCCTTTGAGTGGGAAAAATGACCAGCGAGTCTATGCTTAGGCCAGGTCGCCTGCAGATCCTGCTGTAGATCCTTCTGCTGCTGGACTTGCTTCCGCTGATCTTCCAACTCACCACGCAGCTGCTCAAGGCCCTTGCCCACAAGTCTCCGAAGATTCCAAAGGCTGTTGAAGAGTGCCCGTTGTACGGGTGATAGTCCAACATAGACATAGCGAATCATAGTATATAACTCACGGTATAACACACTGTTGCACAAATTCATTGGTGGGTTAAAGGATGACGAGGACAAGACCCCAGTTGCATCCAAGTTGCATCCAAGTTCGCTGCCTCCAACGGAGCTCCAGATTCTGAAGGGTTCCCAAAACAAACAGAGATTGGGCCATCGTATTAAATACATGATGTGTGCATTAAAGACAGGGAGACCTCCCAAAGAACCCCTGGAAGCAAGGGAAACACACCAAACCTTTGGGTGTCCCTACTAAGATGCAGAACCACATATGTTGATGAAAGTTTATACAGCAATTATCAGTAAAGACACGTATTGATGAGACGTCTTTCCTTCAAGGCAGCTAAATAATTGGGGGTGAAAGGTGGGTAGCTCAAAAACTGTAGCTGACAACCTGATACTTTCAAATCCACTGCGTCCGTGCCTTGCATACAGCATGAAGCCCTTCACGGCTTCTATTTTGCCATAAAAACTGAACAAATCACTAGCTAAAGATAATGAGACGGATCTAAGTAGGCAGGCCGACACAAGCAACAATTGGTACACACCTGGGTGATGCATGAACGCATATGAAAGCCAATGGCCATGGGCTTGGATGGGGGATCTGTTGAATCGGCTGACCCCCCAAAAAAACGATTTCCAATGAGTCACCTAAAGCCCAACGAAGACCCCGTGGGGCCTCCATGGTCCCAACCCTCTCGGCGGCCCAGCGCCGCCGCGCGCCTCGGAGGCCATGAGGGCATCCACTTCAGAGCGCACCTGGCGACTGGATCGTCGAGCGCACCAGACCGGTGACTGCGGCGTCGCTGGTCTGTCCACCTGGTATCTGGTCCAAGACCTCATTTTGCGCGAGTGTTCTTTTACAAAAGGACTACTCCATGAGGTCACGGACCTGGTTTTACTGGGTCAGACTGGACCTGTAGGGTGAACATGTAGTTGGAGTACCATCATCCAAACTTTTCATATCTCTTCGTCAAACCAGGGTGGGAGAAAAGGTTTGCAACCATCGACTGGCAACTACAAGCGACTGAACAAAAAAATCTGACCCTTCATCTTAACTTATCACAGTGACAAGAGCACCCTCTCCGCCGCAGGCCTCTGAACGTAAAGCCTTCAACTTCTCTAGGAATGTATTCTGGCGGCCCTCAAAGTCTTGCAAGTGCCTCAACGGCGAGCAAGAGGTTGCCTCCTCAAGCATAACATGCATCCTGCAAAATGCATGGATGACAGGCTAGACCCAAGAAAACACAATCTTTGGCGACACCGATTCTCCCGGACAGAAAGTAGTTACCTCTTCTGTCCTTCTGTCCACCAAGAAACGTCGCACAAATGTGTGCGGAAAAAGTGTGGCCTCTCCAGGAGCTCGGCTTCGGCCTCCCGAAGCTCTTGACCACTCTCCACCAACTCCTTCACACCTCCTCAGCCATTCGAAGGTGGCGACCGCGACGAAGGCGCGGGCGACATGCGGAAAAGGCCGTGGAAAGCTCTGGAGAGGCCGTTGGTGCGAAAGGAGCCACAGGAGCAAATTCTTGCTAGCAACTAGTTGACCTGGATTTGCTAATTAATGGTTGAAAAGCTGGGACTACTTTGCAAGTTCTATGGCCCCTGAGCCTGAGCACAACCCCGGCGCATCTTCGATAATTTCAAATCTTTGGCTGCAATCCCAGGTTGTTTGCAGTCCTTGCCAAATAAAGCAATAGTCAGCCAATGTAACACCATGCAACAAATATACCGTAGTAGTCAAACATGATGGCAATAGGCAAAAAATGAGCCCAGGTGCATTAAGTTGCAGGAAACTGACCCGGGTGCATTGTGTACCTGCCAAGTGCTAAGGAGACAAAGGACAATAAGAATCAAGTGGGCACCGCCTGCCTCCAGCACTGGCCATGAACTAAGAGGACATATCTAGCCTATTCAATCTCAGCAAAACTCCCGGATTTAACCAGGAAAAAACATGGAAAACATGAACACTCCCGGATTCCCGGATGTTTATTCTCAGAAACCAGGAACACATATGGATAAACTATGACAATTCTGCTAGGGGGTCTTACTACCCATTTTGTAGATGTAACGTGGTGATGCAACCCGCTGTGCGACTATATTTTGAAAAGACTAACCTCAAACGCAGATCTATAAAATCACCTCTCCCAACCTACATTGCGAGTGGCTTACTTTGGTCACTTGCGCACATCCCCCTAAGCCTCAAATCTCTTAAGATTTGTGCCTGGTGATGGGTTGAATTATGAGATCCTGGGTAATCTGGTCTCTCTGGGGGCTTAATCCCTGTTATCTCTATGAATGGGGAGTCCCACCCCCTGTCAGCTAAATAAAACTGTCTTTGGATAGATCCCCCTAGGCTTTTGAAGCCATCAGCCCCAAATCTCCTAGGATTTGCGCCTGTAGCATCAAAACACCAGTTCTCTGTAAAATGACTCTCCAACCCTTGAGGGGTCTACTGCCAAAAACCCCACCAATTATATCTAGTGGATATGCCCCTGGAGATGGACAAATCACCTGTTCATCTGTTCATCCTTTTTCGACCGAGACTGTGACACCCTTTCCCCGCCAGGTCTCTCATGACTTGGCCATGGGCCTCCCTTCGGTTCGACGGCACCTGCCGAGATCTTTGGCGTGGGAAGATCGAGCGGCCGAGAAATTCCGATCTTCCCATCTCAAGGGATGAGGATGGTGGAGACACATCTTCGAAGCAAGTCAAATCCCAGTGAAGAGGTGTGATCTTTGCTCCAGGTCAGGGTGTGCTAAGAAGAACAGTGTGTTGTCAGCCAATGTCCTTCCAAATTTGGGTATAAAGTTAGTTGTTTGGTGTTTTCTTGGGGGATGGTTGCTTGAGCCAAGTTTACTGCAGCATTGGCTCAAACCTTGAACCATCCTGGACTGGCCTATCTGTGTTCCACCCCTTTGGTAGTCCATTGGAGTCTTCTGAGCGATTCAAACACCTGAGAGTTGCAAGGCGATCCAACTTGGTCATACCGGATTTGCACCGTCCCTTCAATTTCCCTCTCCATCTTCTGCCCGGAACAAGGCTACTGATTGATTGGGCTCGAGAATCAGTTTTTTTTTTAAACACAATACATATAACATATATATATATGTATATATCGTTGCTTCACAGGGCACTGCCGTTTTTACAAGCCCGCCTCTTTTGCGTGGTCCACACCTGGGCTGGTCACGGGTGGAATCACTGATCGGCTTGTCTGGTCACCGATAGGCACGTGACCGCCATGTCCCTTCCGTCTGTGGAGCGGTAGCCTGGGTCTGGGTTCATGAGGTCGGACGGGAACCTCACTGACTCCGAATGGTATGCAGTATACGAAGGTCTTCCGCGAGAGAGCAAATACATCTACTCACCTTGGCCCAGCTCATCAAATCCGTGCCCGGTCCATCCTCAGTCTAGTGTCATGATGTCATGCTAAGTGGTCGTTGAGCCTTTCTAGTGCTAGTTGGAACCAGCAAGCAGACTCCAACCTCATGATTTTGGGCATTTACTGTACATGCATGGCGTGCTAGGTGGTTCAACCACGGGCTTGGCATCCAAGAGAGGGTAGAAAATATTGATGTGTCCAAGACTCAAAACATTGCTATGGGTCAAAACCAGGGAGCCTCGGTGGACCGCAGAACATGAAGAGAATAGACTGGGGAGATCAACCTACCAGGGTTCACCGGGCGTACCCAAAGCCACAACCAGGTCGTGTGAGTCCAGCGGACTGCCAGCAACCCAACAGCTCACCCCGAAACACTTTTACGCTTACATCCGGGGCTCAAGAGGCCTCAATCAGGCAGGGCGGCAAAAGACAAACACAAAAGCAGCCCTATAGACTATATCAATTAAACAACGCAAACACAACCACATTGAGAAGTGCCCGGCACAATCAATTCCAATATCTTGTCCGGGGTACTTGAAGACAAAACAATCAAACACATATGAGGGAGGTTTCCGTTTTTCACGCCCTGTGCGATTTGGCTGTGTTTTCTGTTATAGTCACGCATGTTTCTGCAGCACCAACTAGGGGAACCAGCCAACACCCGCAGCCGAACACCCGACGCCGAAAACCCACCCAACCAATCTGCCGTCGCAGCGTCTGGGCCGTCGCTCTCCGAAGCTGGACCTTCGGCCCGAGGTCCACACAGTACCCTGGCAACGAGGCCGTGACGGTCACACGAGTGCTGTCAGAAGCAAAAAGAAAAGCTATGCGGGAGAGCGGAAAATGCGTATATATGTATATATATATAGCTATATATTAGTAATTATAGACAATAGACATTAATACACAACATCTTTACCCTCGGGTGGCCCACAAAAGGTTTGCTCCAATGTCTATTTGATCCTTCCTGCTCTGAATGTTGCCCTCGGGTGGCCCAGAAAAGGTGTGCTGCGTTGGAATGGTCCTGTCCATCAAGCCATTAAACGTCCTTAATCCAAAGAACTTAACCAAACAATAATAACATAAACACACACAAACATCAGGTAACAACTTGTCTTGCAAAGAAAAGTCGCAAACAAGAAGCAACACCGATGCATGCAAATTGCACAATAGACACACAAAGAAACACAAACACCAAGAAGCTGAGCAAAGGAAAGCAAAAAGAAGGAAAGCAAAGGGGCAGAACAGCAAACACGCAACTAAGCAAAGAAGCAGAACTGCAAAAAACAACAGGAAGCTGAAAGGAAACAAAGAGCAAAGAAGCACACAAAAGCAAGAAACAACAAAAACATACAAGGAAAAAACACATCAAAATCGACAAAGCAAACACTGGCAAGGAACATTAAACAAAAAAAACACAAACAAGTAACTTCCCAGAAAACATGGCCCTCCATATCTTAATGTGGCCATGACTGGATGTCTGCCTGAGACTTTTCCACAGCAGCCGCATGCTTAGTTGGTTCCTAGTCATAGTCACATTCCGAAGTGAGAGTTTCTTCCCGAAGCCTGAAGCCTCTGTTGGGAGGGAGTGAACTGGTCAAGAAAGGGAAGTGCTGCCTCACACGCAGCAAATCTCTTGAAGCTTTTGGTGAAGAGCCTTGAAGCAGGAAGCCCCACTGCAAAGCAACATGTCAAGTTAAGGCCGTTAAGGCCTTCATGACCGTCTGAACCACGAGACTGTCTACTGTATGGCCACCCTGGTTATCTCTTCAGAGCGAACTACCAGTAACTAAGCGATCCCTGCTTTCGGTTCTGCCAACACCTCCCTTTCGAAAAGAAAGCAGGACCAGTCGGACCAGTGTTGTTCTTGTGCTCACAGATTTCAGGAGCGTCCGTGGCTTCAGCATGTTCCAAACACATCCACATACTAAAATGCACCAGAACATCACAAAACCAACGCCTATATTTAAGGATGACCCTAAACCCTAACCCTCCCAGTCACCTGGCCGTTAACTGGCTCACCATCGACACCGGTCACCGCACCTTCGAACCGGCCAGCTCCAAGGATTCGATCCGCCGGTCCTGGCCCCGCACGACGCGGCGGGTGACCTCTGGTGACCAGGTGTGGAGTTTCCATGATTTTGGCAGGCCATTTTTGGGGAAATCCCGGAGTCCGGAAAGGAAGGCCTGATTGGAAAACACCCGTACAAGTCTGGGCTGAGTGATGTCCACACGGGCATTCTTGGATTTGCACTCCTCCTGCCAGTTGCCCACACCAATTCATGCTGTCCTTGGCGTGGAGCATTCGCTGCAAGCTCGCGACTTGCTCCTGAGACTGGCTCCGAGGCTCCAGTCTGTGCCAAGCCAAGCTGCCACAGCTCTGTCTAGTAACATGATTAGTCGCTTAGTAGCCAAATCCAACAAGGCAGCTGTGAAACCATTCATGCGAACACTCTGGACTCCATTTTTGGTTGCTATAAAGAATTATACAGACAGCAAGCACTGTCGGCTCCGCTTTTCAAAACATTTGCTGTGAGGCCTCCAGGAGCCGACAGCATTTCCCGGCCTCCAGGACTTCTTCTCTGCCCGACTTTCCCTGAACGGCAAACTGTTCTCGACGTTGTCAGTGCATAATTGGACAACCAGCTTTGCTGACGCTTGGCGCTTTTTCAACCATAAGTTGGCACCTTTTTCTTTGGGGGGATACCCTCCCTGAAACAACAATCAAGAAGTGGAAAACCACTGGTTTGTAGGGGAAAACATTCTTCCAGGAGGCCATGTTCCACTTCCATGTTTGTTAAAGGGAGGGTATCTCACAAATCTCACAACCCCAGCATTGCTTGGTCCGACTGAGCGGTGGCTATGGACGTGTGTTGTGCCAAAAAAGAAACGAGAGACCTATCCCATCGTCAACAGTTGTCCGTATTGCTCTCGATTCTATATATTGTGGGGGATCTGAACTAACTGACTGAGTGCATGTTTGTGGCTGAAAGCATTGAAACCATATTATGTTCGGGCACTGCTTGACTTCATATAGGCGCATTGACGCCTCTTAGCATACATAAAATTACATACAGTAAAACCTGCTTGTGCCCGAATACCCCTATGATATCCCTAGTCCGGGCTCCCAATACATCCCAATACCTTGATTTGATCCGGCAGGCAACCAACACGTTGTTTCTGATTCAAGGCTTCGCCTGAGCAGCTCGATGCTTGACGGCGATCTCACGTTCCAGCTCCACCTGGAGCTGAGTGTGAAGTACCCACTGCAGCAAAAGTTCGAGGAATACATAAGCCAAGACCCTTTCAACAGCTTTGACACTGGCAAAACACACACACACACAGATATATATATATATATATATACCCTACGCACCCAAACCCTATAAATTTGTAGGGTCGATGGAAAAACCTAGGGTTTCTGAAGGAAACCCCAGGTTTTCCAAACCAATATTAAAATACGGGTTTAGTACGGGTATGTACGGGTTAAATATGGGTTTAGTACGGGTTAAACATGGGTTTAGCACGGTTTAGAAAAGCAAGACCCGAGGTTTTAAGAACAAACCTAAGGTATTTTTGATTTCACAAGAATACCCGAGGTTCCGATTGAGACCCTACAAATTTATAGGGTTTGGTTGCGTAGGGTATTACAGAGAGAGATAGAGAGAGATTGTAGTGTGACCCAGTATGGACATGTCTCGAGTCTAACATTGGGCGCACTCACAATAATATAACATAATTGACACATTTTGAAACATGGATGGGATACCAAGTATCCTAAACATTGAATGCCACCTTTCTGGGAGACCGTGCATACCGAAGCTTGAACTTCTTGGCCGCTTCATTCAGTGAACAAACCCTTCGGGATAGGTGTCAACTGTGTCAACAAGGTGGAACAGGTTTTGCAGGGTTCAGCGGACACGCTGGGAATCGCAAGAAACCTGGTGAATCAGGGTTTCTATAGGCTGCTCGTGCTGGCTAGTGAATCAGGGTCAGGGTTGTCTTTTTTTCCACTTGGGTTTCTGTGTGTACGCATTTGCCGTATAATATATAGTACACCATTATAACATTCCTTTGAAGCTGGTAGAACTCCGTTCAAGTGTAACATTCACCGAACACCCAAGGCATCAAAGGTCTCCAAACACGAGATCAGGGTTCTGCCAACTTCCAACCCCCCAAATCTGTTCCAGGCAGATTCCCATCCAATTCCTGGGAGTTGGGCACCTGCTCTGGGCACCTGCTATGCCTGGTGAGCGCCACGCCTGGGAGGCGGCCTCCAAGGATTCGATCCGGGAGTCCTAGCAGCTGTTAGAGTGGCAAATGTCACCAGTCCCAACCTTTTGGGGAGGTGTTCTACTGGTACTGTGTCGATCTTTCATCGTTGAGAAAGTGTTTTTCTAAGAATTCAAGATGCGTCCAACAGATTGACCAACCCTCCCGATGCAAATCCAGACAAATCCAACAAAAACATCATGCATGATGTGGCACATTGCCCTCGCACAGCATCGCATATCGGATTTTCATTTCAAGCGCCGTCTTGCAGTTCCTCCTTTTCTTGGGCCTCCTTGGTTTTGGCCGCCAGCATGCTGGCCAATCCGGGGTCCTCTTCCTTCAAAGTCTGAATGCGGGCCACTAGGGCTTGTGTCAAGTATGCGATGGCATTCTCATCCTTGAACCATTTCATATCGTGCATGGTGATGAAGAGCTTACCTCAGCAGCTCCGTCAAATCGTCGAGTGATCGGGGCTCACACAAGGGGGTTGAATGAGAATGCTGATGTTGGAATTGTTTAGTTTGTGACTCTTCAGTGGAAAGCCACGCCCTAGGGCTCCAACTGCCTCTGCGAAGGTGGCTGGGGTGGGTTTGGGGGTATAAATGCCCTCTGAGGATGTGGTTGGAACCCTAGGGATCACACCCTATACATATGCAACTGTCCACTTTCTTGGCACCATTGGTCACCCAGTCACCAATCTCGGGCGGGGTGACCTTGTCAATATGAGCAATGATACCCTTGGCCACCTTGATCTGCAGGGATGCTGACTGGATGTTCGCCACAGCCAGTGCCCAAGCCATCGATGCTACGGCATCCACATGCTTCATCTCCTTAGTTTGCGGAATCTGCTCATATCATGGGAGTTTGCGGAATCTGCTCATATCATGGGCAAATGTGTTTGAGATTCCTAGTCACCATTGGGAAAGCCAAGGACTTCCCAAGAAGAAGAGATTCCCCAAGGTTCAATTTTCCCGCGCACATCTGGGAACGGATACGTAGTAACGCATACTGCATCGTCTAGAGGTGCATCCTGAACTCTTGTAGAGTAAGGCTCCAAACACACACCTCACTACACACCTCTTTCAACAGTGTCTCTTTTTGTGCCTTTCAACCATGCTCCCTCTCATTCATGCCTTGCCAGGTCTCAGAATTCGGAATATCAAGGGCTGCTCGGGCCATGTCCTGAAAGGGTCTTCGAAGGCCTAAGGTTCCAATGGTGGCCTCATCTGAGACGCCCACCTCTGTATCAGCCTCGCCTGGAGCAGAAATGCGAGGAGCAGCAATGACATGAGTCAACAAGATCTGCTCAGTGAAACAATGGAAGGCCGGGAAGGTAATTACAAAGTTTAGGGAACCTTTTGTGGAACTATTTCGAGTGAAGAACCTTCTGCGAGGGGTGGCCAAGAACATCGGAATGGTGGCTCGATCGATCATCTTTTCAAGTCACCTCTTTCCATGAGCTCTTTGTTCAAGATCATGGACATCGCCCCAGTGACCCGATCATCCGCGGCCCACATCTTCCGGGCCAGCTTGGTGAGCAGCTCCAAGGCTGAGCCCAGCTGCTTCATGTCGAAGAGGTCGGAATTTTCACGACAATACCTACGGGGCGTATTAGGGCGTTAAATGCAGCCGAGAGGAGTATTTGGCAGCCACCCCGGTCGCGTCACGCGCCACCCAAAGATGTTGGTATTAACAAACGAGGGTTTGATTGGGTTTGGATGTTTGTACCTAAATTCCTGTTTCACTATATTGTCAGAATCAAGAGAGGTCCCTTGCTTCGATGCATGCAATGAGTCTAGGACAAATCAAGGGAACCCCAAAACGACATGTAACAAGTGTTCTCCTTTTGTGAGTGTCAACCAACCTGATTTAGTTGTGAATAGCCAATACACATCTCAAAATCCCACAAGATCTAGAAAATAGCCAGGCAAAATACTCACGGACGGCTGCAAAGGCAGTGAAGAAGACTGGGAACTTCTTTGCCTCAGCCAGCAGCAGCTGCGACTGCTGGTAATAGAGAAGTTGTATACTTCTATGTGTTCATATTATGTGGATTTATGATGATTTATGTGGTCTGGTCGATTTTCATGGACTCACATTCGAGATGACAAAATATGCAACGAAAACTTCACAGCTGGCTTTGCGAGTTGCAGACTGAATGCCCTGGCTCTTTTCTTGTTGCGACTCCAGGCCCTCCCATTCGAGCAAGCGACTGATCGCGGGTAACACTCCTTCATTGCCCCCACGCTCCAAGCTTTGGTCTAAAGACTTACGAAGCTTCTTTAGCTTCAGCTCATCAAAGTCTAGATCCTCTTGGAGCAAGCGCTCGAAGGCCAGCTCAGTGGAGATGCTTTTGGCTTTGAGGTCCTCCATGATTTGAGACAATGCAATCTGCTGGGTGCCCATAGCCCTGGTGGAAGTTCTCCATGTCACGCTTTGCCTTCCAAACGGGCCGATGAAGGCGCTGGCCCATGCGTACAGCCAAGCTAAGGAGCAAAGGCTGGCCACGCAGGGCCGCCGTGAGCGACACAAAGCAGCCATGTAGTTTCCTACTTCCTTGTCTGAGCTGGAGCCTGATGGAAACTGGCAACAACACGAGTCATTCAAAGAGAGTGAAAAGGATAATGCTCCAGTCTGAAATTCTCAACCGGTCTGGAAATCCAAGTCAGGCATGCTGAAGCCAGGAACCAACACCAAACAGAAATGGACATGCTTGCTTTCATGCACCACATTCTGGGATTTTGCACTCCTTGCCACCCACATCAGCAAACTGATGCCGTCCTTGGCGTGGAGCAATCGCTGCATGCTGGCGAGTTGCTCCTGAGACCGTGGCGAGTTGGGTCGCCACTGCGCACGGCCAGGCACACTCTGGTTCTCCGGGTCAACCAAGAAGACACAGCCAGGCATAAACAAAGCACACAAAAACACAGGTTGCCTACAATTTGAAGGACTTGCATTTCTGGCTTTCTTTCTAAGCATGTTATGATATTTATAATATAAACATCATGTTACCAATGCATTTCCTGGCCTCCAGGACTTCCTCTCTGCCCGACTTTCCCTGGGAGATGCAAAAAACGCTAACACATAAAAATAACAAACCTCATCGGTCATGTCAAACATTCCCGCCTCTTTGACCTTGCCTCATGACATGCCGTCCCTCAAGCAGTGTGCTTTAATGATGTGACAGCAAAGTACACGTGTACAAATTCACACGTCATAGATACTATATAATACTAAGCACAGCACATAGCATGTGCGGAGTATCTATGCTATAATACTGCTCAATTCTTTGGATCTTGATTAGTGGAGACCGTCACACGCGGACCGTGGAGACTGTTCCTGAGTGCAGCGCCAACGAGTGCCCGGAGATGATCAGGTACCCCCAGCCCCCAGCGACTCAAATCTACACGTGGGGCTCTGATCTGTACGCTTAGTTTTGGAAGCTCCTGCTGATCGACCATCCATTAGGTGAATGGCGAGGACACAAATAGAATTTAACAAAATGATCCCAAGGCATGGCCTGTGTGAGATGCTCCTTGAGGGCGATCTCACGTTCCAGCTGCTCCTGGCAAAAGCCGTGACCACTTCATGCATCTTATAGTGGTCCGGTCCCCAAATAGATGGTAGAAACATGTAGAACCGGTGTCCAATACATCACTAAGTAGTGGGGATCTACTTTTAATCTATCTATTTGGGGGTCTTTTTATGTCTATACACATAATGATTATATGCATAACATGTGCGGAACTGGATCGGGAAGAGTGGTTTTGTTGCAGTGACCTGTAACATGTCGCCAAGAAGAATGCATCTCTATCCTTTATGGAGGCTAAGAGCGATTGTAGCGATTATGCAGCATACGTACCTATAAACATCCTGGACATTCCATACCAGCGTTTCGTACAAGAAACGTTCCATCCAACACCACCGAACCAGCAGTGCGAACGGCAAGTAAAGCCATCATAAGGTGGGGGTCTTGTGGAACTGGCAGTGCGTAGACGCATGACTCAGAGCAGCCGAACGGAACCGTCTGCTCGGCCTGTTCCAAATCTGCTGCCACCCATGGAGGAGTTCGACTCCAACAGTCTCGTTCCTGACCGAAGCGGAGGGACCGAGACAGAGCGAACGACTCAGTTCGAGTTCGTCGACGGGGGGATCAAACATGTACATGTCCGGTCACTGTTTCGATGGTTTTCCGAAAGACAAAGAGGTGTTTTTGATGCGTTTGATGCGTTTCTGCCGCACATGGGAGTGGCTCAAAATCCAGGAGTGCTGAGAAAGCACTCCTGGCCCTACTGCGCCCTAGTGATGGACAAGAAGCTGCAGGACCTTGGATTAGTTCAAGTGATGCACTTGTTACTAGTAGCGATGCCTTTGTTACTACTAGTAGTTTCTTGTTACAAGCAGTAATGCCCTTGTTACTAGTAGCGATGCACTTCTAACTAGTAGCTGCAGGACCTAAAAATTAAAACACAACATAGATGGGAGGGTGCTGCACGCGTCAAGAAATTGGTCCAGAGGGTCTGGAATCCTCTGCGGCCTCTGCACATGTTCAGGTAGACAGCTTCTATTGTCACGCACTTGAAACCTATTGTACTTACAGAAGGACAATTCCTAACACCGCGGGGCCGTCGTCCTACAGTAGTTGTTCGGTCCAGGTTGCTTGGCATCTTGTAACCTAACACCCAACCAGCGGGATCTGCTACACTAGCCACTGCAAACCGAGTGTCGGATGGCTGCAAATCCTCTATGGCATGTCCATCTGTCACCACTGCCTCGGGCATTTATTTTTTTTTCGTGCAATCTGCTCTCAGTAATCATAAAATCTAAGCCCATCTGATGCTTGCAAGATCTTGCAAGCGATTAGCCTTCAAACGGTCTATACTTCTGATCCGTTCAAAGGTTCAACAAGAATACCAGTCTCAAGTCACATCTGTTGAGACTATTATTGATTAGTGTGGAATCAGTGTGGAAGGCATTTGGTGGTTATCCTTAAGGGATGGATCAATAATGAGCAAACAAGGAGTTTGTAGACACAGCACATGTTCATAAAGAATGGCTTTTTACCTAGCCAAACATTTGCAGCAATGAAATCTCAAACGTGCAATCTTGCTCGGACGGAAAATCTAAAACAAACATAAACAATCCAATGCATATATTTGATATGTATATATATATATGTATGAATATGCATTGATGTTTTGTGTGTATGTATATACATGGTTATTTTAGATATGTACGTGTAACTGTATGTGTATTCATTATACATGCATACGAACCCTTCAAATCCATTCTTATTGTTTCCCCTGTTCCGCGCCTTAAAGACATCACGAAAGCACTGCAAGCGCTGGTGGAACTCTTCCACTTTCATCCTCGAACCAGATTGCAAAACACAAAGGGCTGAGGGACATACGGCACATGTCTACACGATGAACCCAGATGTCATGCTGGAAAGGCAAAGTGTCCCAGAAGAGGACGCTGCAAATCCCAGGATGCTGCTCCTGATGTCCAGTTGTTGGGTTTTGTGACGTTTTGTGAACCAGGCCCGCTTAGAAGTCTCTTGAGTGCAACTGGCAGGTCCATCTGTCAGCGCGTCCTGCCGAAGCCGAAGTAAAGGGGCAAGATCAAGGACGAACCTTGTCAGGCCTGTTGATCCAAGGAAGGTGATGTGAACTAACAAGCACATATCCCCGCGGATGCGAAGGGGCAACATGAAGCTCCCTATGAACCAAAGTCTTGTCTCCATAAAAGTGCACCTACTAGTTCCTGCCCTGCGTATGGTTTTGTGCAGTTCCGCATGCCCACCCAGGTCAAAAACCTTAAGATATACACTGTGTGTGGCTGAATGCTGAATTTCTACGCCCATCTCACTTACCCAGCCGAATCACAGGAGGCTAGTCTGGTCGGACCACAGCTGCACGTTCTGCATGCTAATATTGACAAAGTGATCCAACAAAGACCTGGGATTGGCACACGCTGGATCGAGAAGTGGAATGTTGGGAAACTCCATGAATATCATGATATACCCTACAATGTTACAAGTTTGGCAGAGGACCTTCTGCTTCGCCTTTCAAAACACTTCCAAGTTCGCCATGTCCCGAGCTGTAGAGAGAATATGAAACATGTGCAAGAACAAACTTGAACATCTTGAGACAAATGAGACAAACTCATCAACCCCGGTTCAATGTGTGTGTTTTTTTCCCGTCTACCCCCGTCTGGGAGGTCCTCACGGCATGTCCTTCACTGTTGTGTAGCTTTGGAGGGTTCAGGCGCTAACCTTCACATGACCAGCTCTTTGGATCCGTCGCCTCGCTCGCTCCGTCGTCGCCTCGTCCCCGGACTCGGTTTTCACACCGAGCCGCGAGGACTTGCGTCCCAGGACCTTCGTCCGCACGATGGAGCGCCAGCGAGCCATGCCCGTCTCCAAGCGTCGCAGGCGGACGATGGTTTCCTAGAACGGTCGAGGTTCGGAGGAACGAAATCATCATCTGCCTACTTCTTGATCATAACTATATACAACAAGAACAGCGAAATCCATATACACCGCTCTCCAAGTAAATTGGGATAAGAAGAGAAAAATCCATATATATATATATATACTTGGATTTGCTTAAGCTAGGAGCCAGGAAACACTCATATTCCTCATGCAGAAATCGGGAACGTAGAAGTAGCAATAAGCAAAACCCAGTGTACCAGGACCATCCAGCAACGGGTGTCCTGGCCGGTGTAAGGTAGTCCAGCCAGGACATCCATTGGATGGTCACCTTTTGAAGGACTCTTTTTGCAAGTTGATTTTGCCTACCACGGAAGTAAGGCTGTTCTTTGTTATTACAAGCTTTAAAGCCAATCATGTAATCATGGCCGTTGCAGTGGCTTTGGGTCAGTGGTGATCTCAGTGTGAAGGGTTTTATTGTACTTGCTGCCAGGTGCACATGCCCTACAAAACTTCCGTGAATGCATGATAAGCTAGCCCAACTACACTATAGTGCTATAGTTTCAAGCAACAAAAATAATGCCTGCATAGCATGCACGTGCAATTGGTCTCACAAGTGATTTCTATATATATATATATATATCTGTCCTGTCCGGCTGCTGGCCTTCAGTTCGCCCAAGGCACCAAATTACACCCGGACTGATTCCATGACCATCCTGAGCAGCTAATGACCATCCTGGGCAGCTGGGACTGTCCCAGCTGTCGAGTGCAATGGGCTTAAAACATGCCTGAGACATGACCCAGTCTCATCTGCTGGCAAGGTTCCACCGTCTCATCTTTCCCAGAATTTCCGAAGAAGTCCTTGAAACAAAGCCCGAGGAATCAAACAGGAAACACATCTGGCACACAAACATGTGATGCCGCACTGAGTTTCAAGGTTGACTTGGACGACAAATGTGCGACTCTCGTCTGCCCCTTTTGGACGGACTGGCGAGATAAACGGAAACAACCTGTATTTGGAATTGGTGCTTATATTTAGTGCATCCTTCCAAATCTAAGCATTTAAATACCATGGATACATCTAATAATATATGTATACTATATTAGATGTCTTTTCTTGAATTAACTATATTATTATTGATATTCCAACTACAACGTCCTATACCAGTCAGCCATCCCTTCCCTGTCCACCGCTCCGTGAGCACTTCCGCACTGAACCTCAAGCGCTCCAGAGGGCACAAGGTCTCAGCCATTTGGTTGGCCTGACCGCGCGAGGCGACCGCGCCACCCGTTCTCGGCCGGGAGGCGCCTGGGAGGCGGGTAGTGAGGTGAAACATCACTCATGCGCCTCAGGAGTGAAAACTAGAGCAGCTGGATCAGGTTGGACTGTTCTTTTAGACATCGCACATAGGATTGAGAACATGCACTCTCCTTTTTCCATGGGCCATTCAAATTGCTACAAGATTGGCCTCCATGGTCCATCGGTTGGTGGTATCCCAGATGGTCTTCAGACTTGCATCTTCCAGCAAGAGACCTACTTTTGCCCACGGGCTGATTGCAGCAGCCTCGTCCACCAGCCTGCAAACCTGCCCGTCCGCCCGCGCCGCCGCGCGGTGAGCGGCGCCGTGGTGGAGGGACACACAAATGGGGTCAACGGCCATTTGCCATTAGTTGCTGGCCTGCAAAAGCCAAACATCGTCTAAGTAGTGCCATTTGCAGCGACGGTGCATTCTATAGTGCAAGTGGATGTTTCAATAAGGTAGCCTGAAATGTTCTCTGTGATGCAGGATGTGTCTGTCTTCTAGTCGTTTTCTCACACAGCGAGAACAAACAGCCACAAATTCAAATGCCTGGATGTGCGAAGGTGCCTCAAAGACCTTTTGTCAAGCAAGTTGATTGATGAATATCACTTGAGGCCAAGGGGGGGGCGAAAGCTAGCGCTCCAGAATGGGAAAGTGGATGGCAGTGAGGTAGGAAAAAACACGGCGCTCTTTTTGGAGGCAGGGGTGAAGAGTCCTTTATATGTGGCTCTTTGCCCGGATCCTCCTGCAAGAGAAGAGAGAGAAGAGAGAGAGATGAGAAAGAGATGAGGGAGAGATGAGAGAGATGAGAGAGATGAGAGAGAGAGAGACAGTGAGAGTGAGAGTGAGAGTGAGAGTGAGAGTGAGAGTGAGAGTGAGAGTGAGAGTGAGAGTGAGAGTGAG